TATTTTGAGCAGTATACTCGAACCATGACAGCATTGATAGAAACTGACCCATTTTGGTTCAGACGGTGGCAATGGAATAACAAACACATAAAGTCCCTCCCCATTTTGCAGAGTCCCCCAAGGTGCATGCATGGCTGAGGATTGGTGCTTTAAACCTCTGCTAACTTTGACAAAACTTAAAGAGTCTCTGCAATTGAATTTCTTATGATGAAGCAAATGCAAAAGTGTGATTTAGGGATATGTTAGACATATTGAGTATTTCACTTAGTATCCGTCTTGTGTGCAAAACGGTTGTATCAAGACAATCCTAGTGTGAATACCTTTGCCATAACAGATTTAACACTTTCTATAAGACACTAGTTTCTACTTTTTAATTCCATTGCAAGTTCCATTGCATTTACATAAACAATGCATTGAGCAGGATGCTGGCCCCACTTCAAACAGAACTCTAAGGTATCACTTGTCCCACAGCTTCACTGAGGGACAAAGCCCCCGTCTTTGTCTGCATTTGTACCACAAAAGCCAGTGAATCACTTTGCTCATATCAGCCATACAGTAGATTGTCCTCGTCCCAATGAGGAGTCTGCCAAATAAAACTCATCAAAGACTGAGTTGTCATGGCAGCCTGTGCAGGTGATGGAGCCTTCAGATGTAAGCACCTGAGGCTAACAAAGGCTTCACACCAGCCTGGATGCTATTGATGAGGAGCACCACTCACAGAGGCTGAATACTCCCACAGAAACGCAAAGGGAAATGATGCTATTCTTTCTCCCGCTCTCTGTGATGCAGGTGATGTGAAAGACTTCAATGGCATGATTTGGATCTATTTTAACAGCGCACAGGCAGCTCACACAATATCCTCCCGCCTGATGTTTTGATTATTCATTATTTGCTGCAGGATGAAGGGCCTAAGGTTTTCTGAAAGAGATAATTTGTTTAGGATAGTTATAGCTAAGTTATAACATCTACTAAAAAAAAAAAAAACTCTATGAAACAGCATGTGTTTTATTTATTATTATTATTTATAATCATTTAACCCATATTAAACTTTTTTATGTTAACAAACAGATAACTGAGTTGACATGTCCTCAGTAACAGACTTCACTCATTCTTAGGATCTCCAGACTTTTCCAGGCTAGATGTATCTCACATGAACTCTGGGTCTGCGCTGGGCCCGTTTAGGATGTCTTCTGATCTGGAATCTGATCAGGAGGATTCTGATCATCCATCTCAGCTGAAACCTTTTGCGGCAGAGGACCAGCTGTCATACTCTAAGTTCCTCCTCCTTTCTCGGGTGAATTCACTCTATAAAGGAAGTTAATTCCAGCTGCCCGCATTTTCATTTCATTCTCTCTTGATATAAATGTCCTGATCTGAAGTAAGAGTTGAATTATATCCAGCTTAGTAAATCAAGTCTGTACCAGTTTGCTGCGTCTTTATCACAAAAAGCTGGAGCAAGAACTAAACGAATCTTCCTGAGATTGAGTGAAAATCTGGAGGCAGTTGTTCATCTTTTTGCATTTCAGAACCATAGCCTCAGACTTAGCTGATGCTCAGCTGCAAACTGTTCCAGCTCACTTCAAAGCGGTGGTCTACATGCAATCATATCATCAACAGCAAAGATCTTTAGTAGACTCTGAGGTAACCAAACCTCCTCTACCCAACAATGTTAACTTTAATATGAGTCTGAACTCCACAAGCTCCATCGTGGTTATGGACTTGCCTTCTGCTGGTCCTAACTATGGCTCCATCTTATTCAGGTGTAAAGAACAAATGTACTCATTATAAACTTTAAATTTATATACCCTGTGAGTATGAATCATAGGCAAACTCATTAAACTGTATTGCGTCTTAAGGTGAGATGGACAGTTTTGAATATCAGTTAATGAACATTTGCAGTCTTTGTTCTCCAAATGCTCCAACTTCTTCCCTAAATGCTTTATGTTTGATAGAATAATCTTACCATTCTATCTAAGCTGCTGTCAGGCCCCATCAGCAATCTGCCCTGTGGTCTCCATAAAAGCTGTGCCAAAATAATCAGGTTATACAGTGAATAACAAAAACATTAGAGATTCGAATGTGAGATATAGATGCATTTTATCTGTTAATAGCCAATCCATTAGTTGTGTAATGTCCCCCTTGATTAAAACTTATTGATAATTATTAGGTCATGGATTGGAACCCACACCAGAGGGTTCTCTTGAAATTTGCCTGCTCCGTTCCATCAATTAGATGTTGGATTGGTGCTCCGTTCCTCCCATGGCGTCCCTTGTCATATATTTAGCACCAGGTCATTTAAAGTTATCATTTCATCATTAGCAGTTGGACGTTGAGAAGATAAAATTATTTTTGGGTCTCCTTTTTTGAATCCAGAGAGATTTTTTGATGTGTAGCTATTGAAAAAGCTAAGTAATATGGGTCAATTAACATAATCTCCCTCCCCAGTGATATCTGAGGCTGACAGGCCTGGTTTTTACATATCTGAATCATGACGGATTTAGATATTTTATTCTGGGCCAACTCAACAATGGCACCCTGTCAACAAAAACAGTCCCTTTTTTACTTTCTGTTTGAAAAGTTATTTCATTTTTTGTTAATCACATTAAAAACAAATTAAACCGATTATTTTAAATGCTCATAAAAATCAAACAGCCAATTTTTTTTTAACCTGTGATTAAAAAAAAAATCAAATGAATGACCAAAATATAAACAGACTGACCACGTTGAATGAAGAGATTTTATCTAACAAATTCTAGTGCAACATTTAAACACATACACTTGGAAAATCAAGTGTTTCTGTATGTTGTTAAATACGTTTTGGTTCTGTGTTAGAAAATACAAAAAAATTTAGCAGCTAAAGTTTGAGTCAAGGTAGAGTCTTAAACCAGATCCACCACCTCTGATGGGTATTAACTGTGTTTTTTCTTCTTCCCAAATCTATGTGGATATAGAGGCCTAATTTTAAATCCTTTTTGTTTCAAAAATAGAAGCCCAGCTCATGTTCTTAAAAGTGTTATCAATAAGTTTATCTGCTGCCCAGCACCCTCTGCTTATAATTAGACCTGGACTCGTCAAATGTCTTTGGGTATTTTATGGCTACCGGACAGTTGCCTTTATAAAAATTGCTGTATAATCATCAAAGTATGTTATTAATGCTGGTAAATGATCAAATGTTTAATTTCATCTGAAAAGTAGCTCACATATGACCTTAATCAATTCTGGTGAGATTTAAATTGAAGTTATTTGATCCATAAATACTTACAATGGGTATTTATTAATGCCTACTGATAGCCAGATTAGGTCCTGGTATTCACATGCACTGGAAAATAAGGGCATAAATTGCTAGCTTTGATAATATTATTTAATTAACAAGTTTTTTTAAATAAGACCTTTGGTAATATAAAGATAGATGACTGTATCCAAATGGATGGAATAATCTTATAAACTTTAATAAGGACACCTGTTAGGTACTGAGGTTTGTGTTGAATTCTATTACCCATGAATGTATGTTTGATGACTTTTAACTTACATCTTAGAGGGTTATTTTGTTTTAATATCTGGTATATAGAAAAAAGCACCACCAACACGATTCATAAGTTACAAATATTTACTAGACCTGCTGTGGTCGCCTCTGAATAATGGGGGCTAAAGGGGCTCACTAACTACAAATAAAGCAACTAACCGAGTTTTATTGTTTCTTTAGGTTAAATCAGCAGCACTCTGGCATCAATGTGATGATGCTGCTTGGATACAGCAGAGTTTTGCTCATTGTCTGGTTGAAAACACTTATTTCCTTATGAGCAGAAGACAATAAGATAACTCCAAGCATTTTGTTCACAGCCTTAAGGCTAATTTGTATTACATCTGATTCAAGTCAGGCTGTAATCTTTATTACAATAGCTTTATAAAGTGTGTATATCTTCATCTTTATAGTTATGGTAATGTCCTATTTAAAACTTAATTCAGAAACTGGTTAAGGTCAACAAATATTTAATATAAAACAAACCAGAATAGACAAAATAAATGTTAAGGAAATCCATCATCAGAAATGTATATGTGGCATCACTCTGTTCTCTCTAAAACTGCCCAAGTTGTCCAAGGACCAAAGGGAGATGAAGGCAGCGATCATGGTTTCCTTGTTTTTTGCTCTCATTGTGTCATTCTTCTGTCACATAATTGCTCAGAAGGTGGTATTACAGCAGCACTGAATTAATCAACATGAACAGCAGAGCTCTCTCGGAAAAAAGCTTAGCAACAGGAAATAAATCAGCTGGCTTTGATTATAATCTAAACTCTCTATTGGGTCTTTATTAAAGTGGAGGTGTTGCATTGACTATAAATACTGTAAATATATCAGTTTGTCTGGGGTGCACTTTTGTCACACAGGAACATTAAGAGGTAAGTGACTAATATTTGCCTTCGCTACAGTAGATAGAGATTTTTAGACATGCACTAAACTGCTTTCAAAGCTACATAAAATCAGGCTCCATTACTCCTGCCTCAGGTTTCAGTTTTGTTCCGTTTGCTGGATTCCAGAATAACATGGAGCTAATTTAAAAAGAGGCTTATGAATCCTTGTTACAAGACAGAACTAATGCAAACTTTTTTTGCTAAAACTTTCTATTTTGCCAATTTACCCACATTGCAACAGTGCTCACAAGTTTTATAGGACTCATCTTGGCTTCGTTATTAAGAGCACAAAACATCTTTACTATCCTTCAGGATCTTTGTATTTATTTTAGGGGAATTCACTTCCAGATGGTGTTTATTCCTAAATACAATCTGCTTAAAAGAGAACCAGACCCTCAGACAGCAAAACACCCACTTGGTGAATTCGATCATCTTACCTGAAAAGTAGGAAAACTTAGTCCGATTTAAGTGAAAACAGAAAACCTTTTTGCTTCTAGCAGCACATAAATAAGGTCCATTCCACTTAGAAACCTCCCAAAACACAGGAGACCCAAACAACCCACTCCCCAACAGAAACCAGCAAGTCAAATGTGAATACAACCTTTATTAAATGTGGAGCAAAAAGTTTTCCAGAAGAGCCGACATGAAGAAACTAGTCATTTATACATTTGACCAAAGTCCCGTGCTGACAGAAGACTGAATAAATCTTTATTTACAACATAGAGGCAAAACACACAGGATAAATTAACTGTGAAAACAGCTCAGTCTACAAGTTGTAAAGCATCTCTCCAAAGGCTCTAAGGTTTGCATGCTCAGAAGAGGGCATGTTTTCTCTCATTACTCATTCTCTATACTTAATGTTGATGGTTACAGACATACGTCTCAGTCCAATGTTGAATTCGGGGTGAGATGAGAGTTTGTAATTATGATGGAGATATAGACATTCTCTAGAACCACGCAGTAATTCAAGCAGTTTTCAGTCTGTGCATCCGCTGCTTGCAGGGGGGGTGGGGGGGTACGATCAGATGCAGGTTGGGATTTGGACGAAGGATTTGGAGCCACCATCAGGCGCCTCTGCAGAGGGACATCGATTCTTGCCCACCTCAGTATTTTAGGTTACGGGCTAGAACGTCAAACACTCCAAACACACACATCCCAGCTGTCGGTGTGTGCTGGAGCTCCTCTGAGAAGGGTCACGCTGGTGGAGGCCAGCAGAAACATGAGCAGAGTAACCCCGCCGTTCAGCAGACTACCCTCATATAAGACTCTTAGCAGCTCGGGCCATCTCTTTGCTGCATCACAACAAAGAATAGCATCTTTCATCAGATCGGATAACAATCCAGACTAACACCATGTGAAATCTGGCTGAAACCCAAACGAGGACAGGTGCTGATAGAGTCAATTATGAGAGCAGCCCGCTAAACAAGCAGGGTTTAACCTCAGCAACCACTCTTGGTGATGTCTCCACCGGATCTCTTTGACACCTCCAAGTCGGTAAAGATCTAAAGGGGAAAAAAAAACAGGGAAAAATTTTTAAAAAAGGCTTGAGAAATATCCAAGAAAGCCAGACAAACCTGCGAAGACCATTTATGAAGAAAATTAAGCTACAATCAGTAGCACAATTATCTAATGATCAGTGATGCTGTGGGCCTGCTCTGAAAACCTTGTTAAGACTGAAAAATGAACACAGCAATGCTTCCACAGAATCAAGCAAAAAGAAAAGACTTTAAACTCCAAACATATTTAATCACATTGGCTGACGAGCTGTACAAGTCATCCCTTCAGAAAACCCAAACCCAATAACCCAGACTTAGTCTAAAAACCTGAGCAGGATAATAAGACCAAACTGCTCTAAAATGAACATATGAAACACCCAGAGCCTGTTAATGTGCAGTAATTAGCTCTGTTAGACATTAGCATAATGAATGGGTAATCTTGCTCTGTTGTTAAGCTAATACACAGCTTGCATCTGCACAATGGAACTGATCCATAATTCAGCTCAAGATCTTATTAATAAGTCAATTAAAGATTGTGGATGAGGGGATAAAAGAGGGGAGGCCTACTGCTCTCATACAGAGTGGCCATGCTACACTAATGGATTTAAGTGCATGAATCCTAAGCATGTCTCAGTCGTGGTCTCTATGATCCATGTTTTGAAAATTTTACATTTTCATCCCAGGAAGAATCCAAAAGTCTATGAGAGAAAAAGAAAAGCATTCTTCAAATAATAAAAACAGGCATTAAGTGTTCTTCTTACCTCAGCACAGGTTGGATGGATCCCAATGGTGACGTCAAACTGCTCCTTGGTCGCTCCGCATTTCATGGCGACACCAAAGCCCTGTGTCACCTCCCCTGCATTTGGACCCAGGTAGTGGAACCCAATGACCCGGTCCTGAAAAGGATTGGAAAAGAAAATTCACCCAGAGTAACAACCAGCTAAAGCTAGCAGGCGCCTCAGCCAAAAATCAGCCTGAACGGCCAGGTTAACAGTACATTGTCAAGTTTGTTGCAGATGATCTTGGCGTAGCACTGGTTGTTGTCACGGTTTGGCACGGTGAACTCCAGAGGCCAAAACAGACTGTGATACACCTGAACATGAAAAGGAACAAAAAAAAAAGTGATTAATAAAAAACAAAACAAAAAACATCAGGAGACAAATTTTAACTCTGTTTATTACAAACATTAAATATCTCATCTAAAACTAAAGTTTTAACCTTCAGTTGGTCTAAAGGTCAGAAGACATTTCTGGTATCTGACACCTTTAAAATGTTTGATAACCCCGAAACTTTCCTGTAATTATAATCGTTAATATCTACGTTCTACTCTTATCATTTGACAGGAAAAGCGGTCCTTAACCAGACTGCCAAGGATGAATTATTCACCTCGATGTTGTCCTGTCCGTAGAGCTCGATGGCCTTCTCCTCTGACAGACCACAGGCGCCGTACTCCAGCGGGGTGAAAACGGTGGTGGGAACATTGACATAGTCACACTGCACACACAGATTTGATGGTTAGGGTCCGATGGCATGGCACTAGTATGGTACAGGAAGGCTGCAGTACCTTCACTCTTGATCCTCCATAAAGGCGACGGGCCAGTAGCTTCCCAGCTTGGATGGCAACAGGCGTCAACTCCCACTTTCCCTCCAGAATGTCCCCAATGGCATAGATGTGGGGCACATTGGTCTGTTCCTCGTCATTCACTGGAATCTTCCCATTCCTAGAATATGATTAAGAAAGAGAAACAAGGAAATAAAACACAGAAAAAAAAAAAAATTAATGCTGGGTTCAAACTAAGTAAACTATGACATCACAGCGAGGTGTGACATTTTCTTAGCATTTGTTAAGCAGATGTTAGCATTTAGTTAAAATCAAGTTGTCAACAACTATCATTAAACTATATTGAATATATTTTTCATGAATCCTGAATCAATAACAGAGAAATAAACTAATTTCAAATCCCCTCCTTCTTCCTGAGCTTCAGCATTTCGTCATGAATATATGCCTTAAAGGGTTTATATCAAAGGCAGAGCAACAATAGAGCATGAGCACAAGATATCTACAATCAAAAAGCAACAAACAAAGGAAAGATTATCCCTGAAACGTCTTAACCGAGTTATCTTTTACTGGTTACTACTTATATAGGGTAGGGGTGGGCACTATATTGAGTATAGTCCATGCATCTTTAGTTTATCCAGTTAAAATGACTATCACAACCATTGAGTACAAATTCACATGACGACATTAACCCGTTTGCATCTATTTCACTATATTTTTCCCCATACACTTTGAATGCATCATAAAACACTCCCCAAGCAGGATTATTTTCAGCGCAGCATACAAACTACAGCAACTAGCAAATGAAATATGGCGACAGTAGGTGTTTCAGGTTAGCAGTATATGGCAGCGGTTTGGATTTCACTCCGAAGCCGTCGGAACAAAAGGCGCCAATTTGTAAGACTTGATGCAAAACCAGTGCTGCAAAAGGTAGCAGTGCAAATTTATGGCACCATCTAAAGTCATTTGCTGCAAAATGAAAAATGTTGTAAACTCTGCATGTCAGCGTTTCCCCGCACACCAATTAAAACAAATCAGCTGTGAAGCAGATGACGTTGGTCTTGTCGTTTGAAAAAGCTATCCCATATGAGAGAAAGGAAGAGAGGGAGGGAAATCAGATTCTTTTGATTACGTTATTTAAAAGTTTTTTTTTTAGATGCTCCAATACTTCTGCTGTGGTTTTGTAGCCAATTTCTAAACTTTGCCATGTTCTCAATTTTACTGTGCTTCTTTAAAATTCCCCAGGAGTTAAAGATCAGCACTAATATTTTTGAGCTGCTCTGATAATGCTCTCATTTTTGCTCAAGTCATTTTTTATTACTCTGCTTTTTTTATCATTCAGAAAAGAGCCCTTTTTCTAATATTTTTTTTTGTTGTTGCCTTGTTTCCATTTGGTTGCTGGAATCTTGTTAAAGGTCTAATACGGACACTGAAAGACATAATGTGGCAGTATTATTAGTGAAAAGCTTTGAGCTGGTTAAAATAAAATGTTTTAAATTTGAAATCAAAATATTTGCATGTCAGTTTGAATGAGTAAATCTGCAATTTTATGCATAATTGTTTTTGAAGGAAAAGTAAACATATTGTGATATATATCATGATTATAGCCCAAATATATCGTGATATTGGATTTTCTTCATGTCGCCCAGCGGGTGACACTAATTTGCATTCAGTGCAGCCATCTTATTGCTAGCAGAAATGTTTACTGTAGGGTCAACTGCCAATATCCAGGTTGATCAAGTTTTCATTGTTTGTTTTTATATCTGGTTAGTCTGACCGGATTTAACTTAACTCCCGGAGAAAGTAGCTGGACAGAAATTAGGGTTTAGTGAGTAACTAATCCAAGGCAAACCAGCCTGGCCTGTTTTTGTAGACTAAATAAGAAGCAACAACAGAAGCTTAAGTTCCAGTATTGGCCTGTTGATGGTACTCTAAGTCTTTTTCTTTTATATTGTGTCACATAATGATAAACCTTGGTGTCTTTCTTTTCTTCCCCTTGTCCTGTTCAGCATCATGGCAAGTAGACGTAATTTCTGACTGCCATAGTTGTGCTGAACGGTTTTACTTTTTCAAGGGAGCCTTTACAACTATAAAGCTCCTCTTACTACCCAACCCTTGAGGATTTATATATTCTTATATAATACCCGGTTCTCTGATGCCCAAGTGCAATCATTCTGTTTTCTCTAAACATTTTGCTTCAGTTTGTCTAGCAGGTAAAATCCCAATAAAACACACTAAGGATGGTGTGTGCACAGCTGACCTGCTTTGATGCCGATTATGAGCTAGCAATAAACTAACAAATCACCTTTGAGAAAAGGACATTTGGATTTTAACCACATGGTTCACAATATGAACGAGACGTACAGAAATTCTTACATCTGATCTGACACAGCAAAGATAACTGGATCCAAGGTCATCCAGTGCACACTTGCACAAAGCTGTAGTGGCGCTTGGGAAGACTGTGTTAATATTTGACAGCATACAGTAGAAACACCCTCGGGCCCATTGATGGGCCCCTAAGCCCAGCGGCTCCAATTGGATGTCAGGTTCTGAATGTTGCTAGGGTCATAAGACCAGAGCATATGACTAGGAGCACTAAAGCCGACTTCAACCTCTTAATCTTTGCCGGACTCAAGCTACTAAATCGTTTCTGCAAACTAAGTTTACATTTTCTAATCAGTCAGATCAATCTTACATGAAATAAATACCATACACACTGTATATATACATCCCCCAAGCACATTTATCCCAATTGGACACCTTCTTTTTGACAATTGAGAAGATGTGACAAGTGAATTTGAGAACTGTGAGATCAATAAAGTCAATCAATGACATTAAGCTGCGAGACGTCAGTAAAAGGCAGATGGTTTTCAGGAAAACTATTGTTGTGAAACAAACTATAACGAGTCGATTCCTGCTAGTAGCCACATGCTGACACATGATACGCCGCTACATTCTCCGTTTACTAGCCAGCCACCTCTTATCTCTTCCTGATAAATTCCCCGGGGGACACTTAAAACTCTCCCAGCAGAGAGCTGAGGGTGAGTCAGAACTGCTGAATCACCGTGACTGTACGGTGAGTCTTAAAGGCACAGTTCAGCACACGTGACACAGCTGAATGTACAGAGACATGCAGCGGAGCAGATGAGGGGAACTTACTTTGGGTTAACTTTAACACCTGCCTTTTCCAGGCCGATTTTGTCAGTGCATGCATTTCGACCCACTGCTATCAAGACCTGAGAGACAGAAAGAGGGCCTGGTTAGTTTGACAAGTCTTCAGTCATGATTCAATTACACAGGATTGGTACGACGTCATAAAAAGGTACAAAAACCACTTCCTTCTTATATGTTGCAAGAATTGAGAGCTGCTGCTAAAAATGGCTTCAAAATTAGGTTTACTTTTACACTTTGCAAACAACATATGCAAAGAAAAAACCTCTGAAAAGCTCTACTTGTTTCCTACCTAAAGAATTATAACAACCGTCTTAAAGATTATTTTACTGAATGGAAGAGGAAAACGTCCAGATTTAATCAAAAGAAAAAAAAAATACTTGATTACATTATTTCTTAGTGCACTTATTTCAGATTCCTAAACAAACTGGTCATAAACACTTTTTTTTAAGCTGTGAGGACTTGCTGGATGAACTGATAAGGGAACTAGATACCGTGTTGTACTCGTCCTCGATGAGCTCGTCCGTTTCCGTGGACTTGGCCGTCACCTTTAGCCTGCCAGGACTGCCTGCCTCCAGCTGCTCAATCTGGCAGGAAAAAAAAGAAAAACATTCATCTACTGCCAGAATCCTGGCATGTTCAACAGATACAGTACAAAGTCTGCAGCAAGCGAAGCCACTTTGCAACTCTTAAACACAATAATCACAAGAGTTTGACAGAAGAAGAAAAAAAGCAGCGGCTGCTACAGACCCAGAATTCAGCACCACAGGAAGAACACAAACCTTTATCGGAACAAATTTGCGAATGAACTTGACTCCGTGCTTTTCCATGTACTCCCCGGCACGGTTGGCCATGTCTTGATCGAAGCCCCTCAGCAGGATGGAGCGTACCATGATGGTGACGTCCAGCCCGAGGCTAGTCAGAAAGCCGCCGCACTCCAGAGCCACGTATGAAGCTCCGATAACCAGGGTCTTACCCGGGCAGTAGGGCAGTGAGAAGAGGTCATCACTACAGAAGAAAAGAAAGAGCATGTTTCATTTCCTTTCATTTCTAAAGAATGCACTTCAAACCGTTTGTCCAATCCCATTTCATATGCTATGATTTCAGGTTGCAACAAAAAAAAAAATTCAAAAAAAAAAAAAAAAAAAAAATGCAGATTATGTATATAAATTGCTTTTTCAAAACGTTTGCCAACCAGATTTAAGGGGATTTGATCACAACTGGTTCATGTTGAAGACATTCTGCGAAGGCAGCCGAGCAGCAACCTTTAAGATCTGAACATCTGGCCTAAATTATTGCCAAGAAACTGAATCATAAAATAAAAAAAAAAATTCTAAAATAAACCTGCTGTAATAACTGTCAGCACTAGAAATGCTCCTTTTTTTAACCAATTTGAAAACCCAAGCTAAATCCATAGCTTGTTCCAGCTCTTTAAAAAATGGCCAACATCATGGAAGAGAGGAGAGTCTACTATGAAGGCAGATCATTTCACCAACAGAGGAATTACAGTTCGTGAAGATCTAGCTTAAGCTTTACACAGGCTAGCAGATCATCGCTACACTCACCTGGTGATGCAGTGCTCCTTGTCCCCAGGGATTCCCAAGTAACGTGGCCTTTCTCCTGTGGCCAAGACGAATTTGGCTGCCGTGTAAAACGTCTCTTTTCCTCGTTTGTTTGTGGTCTGTCACAGGTGACAAAGGAAAATGGGGGCCTTATAAAAAACATCCATGAACATAAAAGACTAAAGACCTATTTGAGCTACACTCTTCAAATACTTCATGTGTTTGCCTGTCACAAAAAACTAAAATTTAACAGATAAGTTTGTGGTTTTGAGGTGAGGAAAAAAAAAAAAGTTAACCAGTTACCTTGATTTTGTGGGGTTCGACAAACTCTGCATAGGCGTTAACATAGTTGACGTTCTTGTCTCTCAGCGACACCCTGTAGCCCCAATTCAATGATCCAATATAATTGTTCACCGCTGTCTTCATTGTCTCCCAGTTGTGTTTCACTGAAGGCAAACAAGACATCTGGTCAAACACAGAAGCTCGTCTTTAAAAACACCAGCGGGTGCGAAGATCTCAGAGACTGGAAGGCTCACCCGATTCGTCAAACTCCCAACCAAACTTCCGTGCATCTTGGATTGCTGTAGCCAACAAGGCCGTCTGGTGCATCAGCTTCTTTGGGATACAGCCGACATTCACACAAGTTCCACCAAGACCTGATAAAGGCAGCAGGTGTTTAGACTTTACAATGGCTGCCTCACAAGTTCTAATCAGTGTTATTAATCTGAAACGGTATCTTACCCCAAGAGGTTCCCTTCGGTGTTGGGACCACATAGTCCAACACCATAACCTTTTTCCCCAGGAGGGCTGCTTCCTGTTATTGGTAGACCCGTTGTTATTGTCATTGTGTTGCAAATTGTCTATACACTACAAAGTTAAGATGCTTCAATTCTCTTTCAAAACATATGGTGCATCTTAGTGCAGAGAAAGTCAGAATTATAGACCGTTTCCTTTTCGAACCACTGACAAAAAAACCAGACCAGAGGAACTGAATATGCTCCATTACCTTAGAGCACGCCAGGCCCCCAGATCCTCCTCCGATGACGATAAGGTCATAGTCATACGCTTCATTCTCTCCACTGAGAAGCTGCTGTAAGCTGCCGTCTTTATGAGCCTGATGCAAACATTTCCACAACATTAAGCAGTTAAAAAGCAGTGATCATATGAAAGCTATAAGATCCCGCGCATAAAATTGGTAAGTAACGAGAAAAGTCAACCAATGACTCACAAAAGGCACCATTTAAACAATGAGTCAGCTCAAGACATCGGATCCTCACCTGCATGGTTTTGTCACACCCACCAACGTGTGTCTTATTGACGAAGACCTGAGGGACGGTTTTCTGCCCGGTAATCTCCAGCAACATCTCCTGGTAGCTGGTTCCATTCTCTGGATAAAAAGATGATCAGATCAGAATAGATGGGTGGTATGTTTTCATTATAAGCCAATTAATGCTAAACATTCCAAGCAGAAACACATCAAGCCCCCAAATTGGTCAGCTCCTAACAGAAAGACTCTGCTCTTACTATAAGGACCACTTAAGACAGAAGGGGTGCTTTAACTTCAATTAGCACTTTGTCAATAAACTAACAACACTTTCCCAACTTCCCCAAAAGTATAGTTCCTCTGACAAAACACAAATTTTAAGTGCAAGTTCCTGTTGCCAAACATTTCAACGTTTAGCAAAAACACCCTACTGGCAGCACTTGGCATGAACCAGTTCAAATGAGCTCACATTGGATCACTTTGATTTGAAACGGGACACTTTATAAGCAAACGCTGATAAGATGTCACTTCAAGATACTCTGCTTTCAAGACAAGTTTGGCTTTATCCAAAGGGAAAAGTAAGAATTTATGTGAAAAAAACAACAAAAAACTTTCACAAATCCAACAGGTACAGTTCATGTTGGAAAGAATTTTTTTTACTGCTAATTTAGGTCTACCAAGATCTGTGATGATGCTCTTTGTGCATTTAGAAAATGGGTTCAAAGATTTCAGTTACAATTTAATCTTTTTGCCCCGTATTCAGTTATAAACTACAGCACCACATTTTGTGTCAGCAAAGACAACAATTAAATTAAAACAGACTGCTAATGGTCAAGCACAGTTTAACCAAAAGATTAACTCCATACCATAACTGTAACATCTGGTGTGCTTCATCATCCTTAACACCTCTGGTTTCCTAGCATGGTTTCATATTTGATAACAGAACATGGACTTCAATCAAAGGGATAAAAAAAAAGGAAAAAAAAAAAGAAATGTTGACCTTCTTGTACCTTTTAAACTGACTGCATAAAGAAAAAGCAAAAAATAATGATAAAATTACTCCATCTCCTTAGCCATCCTTAATTCAAATGCATCGGTCAAAATCTATAATGCCAGATATTTGCTGCTTCAAGTGAGCAGAGGTCAACCAGGCCATTTGAAGACTAAAGTGAGGAAAAACTCTTCATTCTTACCAATGAGATCCAACTCCATCACATTACACTTGATGTTCAGCTCTTTGAATAGGTCCTTTACCTGAGAACAACAAAACAAGCTTTCAGCTGCATTACAAAAACTATTGCATGCCTGATAAACCCTCCTATACTATATTTGCAAAGCAGGTTTCTCAGTTTAACTTTATGACAACAAAAACTGCTTTTGCAATATATTTAGCTGCTTAATTGCACATATTGGTAAGAATGGGCTCTGAATCCCATATGAAAATGGTCCCGGGGCGACGTCAGACAATCTTATTCCATACGAGTCCTCTTAACCGCATCTCTTAAACTACGCATCACGCACACTATAGGAATTGGCAAACGAAATACGGCGACAGTAGGTGTTTCAGCTTAGCAATATATGGCTAATTTGTAAGACTTGCCCCAAAACCATTGCTGCAAAAGGTAGCAGTACAAATTTATTCCACAACCTAAATAAGTCATCCAAAAAGAAGACACTCAGCATGTTAGCTTCTCCCTGCACACCAATTAAAACATTAACTAAATCAGCTGTGAAGCAGATGATATTGGCCTCGTTGTTTAAAAAAGGCGATCATATATGAGAGAAAAAGGAAGAGATGGAGAGAAATCACAGATTTTATTTATGTTATTTCAATGCTCTTTAGATGCTTAGATACCTCCAACGTTTTCTTGTTAAGAGGCTTTGCAGAGGTTTTCTAAACTTGGCAATGTTCTCAATTTTACAACTTTTTGTGCTTCTGTAAAATATCCCAGCAAGTTAAGATCAATGCAAAGTTAGAAGATGCTCTGATAATGCTCCAACTTCTTTTTTTTTTTTTTAAGTATTTCGACTTTTGCATTTGGAATTTGAGGTTAATTTATTTTTTACTTTTTATTATGATGCAAGGAAAGCCCATTTTTTTATTTTGCGCTTTAGTGTTTTTGCTTCGTTTCCTGTTTAGTTGCTGGGTTAAAGCTCTAATAGTGACACAGAAACACATAATGAAGCAGAATTATTGGTGAAAAGCTTTGAGCTGGTTAAAATAAAATGTTTTAAATTTGAAACTAAAAGTTTGAATGAGTACATCAGTGCAATTTTATACAATCCATTGTTTTAAGGTACTTTAAACATATCGTGATATGTATCAGGGATGGCGATTTTGCCCAAATATGCAATGGTATTAAAGTTTCTTCATGTCGCCTAGACGTAAGTGCGTTCTACCAATTTGAGGTATGCAGATTGAACCATAAATTCCCACAGATTTTGCAGGCAGCTTAAAACCTCTCCAGCAGACAGAGAGCAATTTCTGAAGGCAGAGGTGCATTTTAAAACAACTCTATAAAAAAAAATCAGCATCATCTCCACACCCGCAGGTGTCTCAAAACAATGTGAGCCTGGGTGAACCAGTTATGTTGCATATTAAGGAGAGATATGAACGCACCTTTCCAAAATAGAGAAAAAAGAGAGAACAAATCCAAAGATCCACCAGCATTTGGAGGAAACCATGGGCTAAAATACCATTATTGTCAGAATGCTGACATACAGCAAAACATGCAGATGTAAAACCGTACACATATTTACAGAGTATTAAGTGGTTTTTACTGGAATTGAATCAACAAAAATTATATTAATTATCTTCATTAAATTAGTATTAGATAACAGTAGTGAGAGGAAATTGATGTGTCCATTCAATTCTTTTCAACTTTGTTAAATTTAATCTAAAATTAAATAAAGAGAGAGATAATTATCAAACAGCTCATCAGATGAGTCAGGAGTTCATCTTGAACAGGAGGCTATAAATCTAACATTAGACTTATCAATGCATCAAGACATGGGATGGGGGGCAGCTGGAGGAAGGGGCTCCAGCAGACAGGGCCAACATGGAAAACCTTCCTCCATGGGGCCACTCTGTTAAACTTGGTGCTGCATATCTCAGACGAAACAAAGGCTGATCGTGTTTCATTATTTGTTCGAAAAACACTTTGAGGAATCGTATTTCATCCTGAAAAATCAGAATTAGCAGGAAGTAGGTTCTAAAATTACAACCGTTACGTGGTTTTTCAGAAAAACTTTACCCAAATAACTAACGCTGTGACCCACGTGGTACGATACAGATAATTATTGTTGACCTCAGCCGACAACAAACTGTTTTAGGCGTCAGGTAACATAAATATATATATTTATACATCAGCCAAGTTTGCTGAGGGCGAGATATTATGAAAGCTAACGTTTAGCCACATACGAATAAGTTACATTCTTCCCCTTCCGTTAACTCCAATGCAGCTTTAGCTCACTTTCAGGTTAACCTCGTCGTTTAGAGCCGACAGGCAGTCAAAATATAATAAGTTTTAACGAAGTCTTAAAGGGACAGAAGCCGTTGAAGTGTCGAAGCGCAGCTCCAGCAATTAGACTGAGCCCATCCCGTGGAGTTCGCGGGAGAAAAGTCGAAGTTCTCGTCCGGGGAAAGGAAGATCTAATAAATAAGACGAAAGCGAAGACAAACAAAAAAACAACTTACCTGGACACAATATGGACAGTAGCTTTTGCTGAAGACCACCACTTGATTGTCTTCAATAAGCTTCTGTATCTGAGTTTTGAGTTCATTTTTGCCGGTGTCATTTTCGATGGGAGGCATTTTTCAGCTATTTCCGTCCGCTTGCGTAAAGCAAGCGCCGATAATCGGATTTCCTTAGATAACCACAACCTAACTAGCTGCACCACTTACTTCTGTAATAAACCCCTAAACTATTTTAAGGGTCTGAAAATACCGGACAAGGGAGGACAGTTGGGCTGCCCTCAGTCAGTCAGCCTTCAGGCACCAGGTAGTCGTCTATCAACCGCGCAAACCGTATCTAGCATTTTCTTGTCTAGATGCTATGGGAGCGTTCGTTATATGTCACCGTGTGTGCCGTACGGGCCGATAGTTTAATAGGGGCCCTATTAAACTATCGAGAACCGGAACAACCCCGCCCATGGGCTATATTGTTGAATACAAAACAAGGCTACTATCAGATACGCAACAGCGTCATATCTTAAACGCCCAAAAGTAATTACTTAACTCACACGTTTAAGTCTGAACATACCCTGGGATTAATAAACAGCTATGTTAAGAAATATATAATAAACAGCTTTTATAGTTAGGGGAGCAACACTGGGGTTAACGGGGTCACTGAAACTTTACCAAGGTAATTAATTTTAGCAAATTAGGAAGCTTTAAATACTGATTGGTATTAATTTACTGCTTTGAGCTGATGATAGTATAGAGAACTTAGCGCCTCTTATATAAAATGCTACTCATCGAAAAGCTGGAGCATTAAATGTTGGAGTTTGTCGCCACCTAATGGTAAAAACCCACCAAAACAAAATTGGTCTTTTTTATAGTCAAGTGCCATCCATAGTGACTGTGGAACTGGATAAAGCCTTAATTTCATTCCCTTCTGTTATTTATTTATTTATTTGTTTGTTTATTTATTTATTTATTTATTTATTTATTTATTTATTTATGTGTAAAATTTCGGAAGTTCAAATTTTGGATTAAAACAAATCATAAAAACAACCCAGTTAATAAAAATTTAATACTGGATTTTTTTTTTTTTTTCTGGTGGATTTCCATTATCTCAAGAAAATTAATATGTTATATCTCTAAATAAGGCTGTCACTTAAAGTAAGTAAAAAATGCATTTGAAGAATTGTGTAAAGCACAACATTTTGCCATGAAACTACTAACTTACCGTATACCTGGAATCTCTGTCAGGGGACAGACAGAGACTTTTGAAAGTATGAACAGATTGGGGTAGCGTTAAAACAAGTACAGAAAAGTGTTGCTGTCAAAACCTTAAAATACATCAAGATGATTAAAACACATCAAGATAATTAAAAAGGATTATGGTCAACTCATAAAATTTCTGCATATTAAGCTCCCTCCCCGAGGTATTCTATACGACTCTGGACAACTTCTCTGGTCCTCTAGATTGAAAAGCACACTGGGCCCTGCAGAAGAGAGCAACAAGTGAGAAGTGTGTCATAGAAATTGATGTCTAGATATGGGTAATTTAGATAATATATCTAAATAGATGTGTCATAGAAATCTGTCTAAGTCTCTAAGAAGATTAGAAAAAGTAGAGTGTTTCTCTGCACGCCACATTCCAATGAAGCTAAGACAATGTGTAAAATGTAAATCAAAACAGAAAAAAAGATCTTCAACTTATATGCAATTAAATACACTACAAAGACCTTTGACCTAACAGTCAAACTAATAAATTTATATATATGTACGTACATACTTTTACTTAGTTAGAAAAGTCAGTAAGAAAACTTGTACGATTTAAGTATATTTATATTTACTTTGCATATATACTGTAATCTTAAACTTTTAAGTTTATATATAGCCTCTTAAGCAAAGTGAGGTTGGTGGAAGGGGTAACTTCATTTTACAGGCATAAGATCAAATAGGGTTAGGATTAAAACCTATATTTTTGCCCTTTTCACCTGGTCCCTATTTGAAACAGGTCAACAAAACCATAATCAATAATAATCTTGAAGAAATTACATAAACTTTTCGATGAAGTAAATATGAGTCCTTAAGGTAGGATCACAATTTTTATTTGCTAGATCAGAGCTTCTAGTGGCTCTTTGGGTTCCTCGGTATATTAAATGTTTCACTATTGTCCTTTCACCCACCCTGGCCTGCTGATAAAGTAAACTCTAGAACTGGTGATGTGCCTCTGACACTGATCATATCACATTCAAAAAACAGCTGTTACATACAGAAACAACTAGAAATGATTGTCCAACCATAGCTTTGGCTCTCATTTGTGCTGTTTTGTGTCACAGCAGTACCAGAAAATCCATAGTTGATGAGAGCCGAAAACTTGCTGAATCCACTCATGTCATCTTTGTTTTGTGGACACCAGACTGGCTACAGTAATGTCACTTAGATATTATAGTGACAATCTATTGTGTTTATTTCCTTATTTAACACATAAGGCAAATGTTTTCTATGCAAACATCTGTTTTTGTTTTTTTGTTTTGTAGGTAGAATGTATTGTTGGGACATTTAAATTGCATTCACCCAGGCCTATGATAATTTATTTTCAACTTTTCACATCCACGTTATCCTCCAGGATCTCCCCTTTAAGAGGTAGAAATCTCCAGCAGAAGCAGACTCAGTGTGTCAGAGCTGAGCAAACAGATTGTTCCACGATTGACCATTTGTCTATTTTATGGGGTTTAGGTCAAGCATTTTTACTGATGTGCAGAACAGTGCAACAGCTTGTCAGTGTCAATGTAACTAGTGTGAACAATTAAATCAAATAAAGTGGGTGATAGGATGAAATATCCTAAGACATTTGCAAGAGACCGCCACTCGGTAAAACAGAGAAAGACCGATCTTTGCCTTTGCAAATGTATTCAGGATTAAGCATTTGAAGGCTTCTACTCTCAGAGAGGCAAAAAGTGTTAAAGGAAGGTGTAAACACAATTTTATACCTCACAGAGGAAATTTTTTTTCTAGCCTAAACCAGTCTGTGATCAATATTCCTCCTTAGCTGGCCTTGGAGCAGAACTACAGTACATTGTGAAACCTTTCTGAATTCAACTACTTAGCACAATCAGTATGGAATGACTTAAAATATGCAAAAGGGCAGCATGCAGCTTCCCTTAAGACAAGATATGGATATTGCAAAACAACTGAAGCAAATCAGGATAGAAATAATCATACATGAAAATTTTCCACCACACATGGAAACCAGAATTTCCAGTTTTGACCTCATTAACCAGAGGACCTAATTCTGCATTATTGCTATTTCCTAAATGGCCTCTAGCAAATGACTACTGCTTGTGCCTTTTGTCTAACAATGGCTTTATTGTTGACATTGGTACATCCAAACCAGATTTGTGAAGTACTTAACTAAAGGGTGCAGCTCACTCAGAGCTACCATGGGCTTCTTGGCTTCTATGATTAATTATTTAATTAAATTCTTGAAGGTTCTCCTTACCTTGCCTATCAGCTGAGGTGAACAGCTAAATCTTTGTGGGGTGAGGTATTTTAGATTAGATCAGATTAAATTCAACTTTATTGTCATTAATTACACAGGTACTGGTACAAGGCAACACAATGCAGTTTAGGTCTAACCAGAAGTGCAATAGCAGCAAGTGCAGGATAAATAATGGTAATGGTTCCATAAATACAGGACATGGGTTCCTACTGAATAAGTATAGAGATGAATACCATTATAAGCTGAATCTTATAGATGGATATCATATATAGATGATGAGAGATGATGGTGCCCTGTGAGGTGTTCCCTCAGAAAGTAGATAACCTGAGCAGAACCACAGAACATAGATCGAAAACAACCAAGACAGGAAGTAGGCTACTGTAATTTGTTAGAAGCTGCTGAAACTTTTCCCTATTATTTTCCTGTGTTGCATAATTTGCAGTAATTTCTGCTTTTCAGTTTTTTCTCTCTTACACTTAGCCAAATCTGGCCTGACCTACTGTTCAGACGTGCCTCTGTACTCGAGGCGAAGATTGGATGGTTTTCTCCTGCTGCCAGGGATTTCATATTCTCCTTTCTTTGATCCACTTGGCCTCACCTTTCAGTACTAACTGTGTCTCTCTCAGTCACACCTGCTTTGCATCATTCAATGCAGGTCCAGCAGATTCTGCAACACTTTCTTCCCCATCGACATCAAACTGCTGAACGTTTGAGAAGCTCTATATCATGTCACAGTCTCTGCATCACACTGAAAACACCAAACCTAAACAGTACATATTTGCACCATATATATTAGTGATCTGAACTTTCATATTATATATTTTGCACCATGTTTTTTTTTCGATCACTGCTGCACTTTATGGAATGAAAATGTTCATTTACTGTCTGAAAAGCTATACTAAATTCAATTTCATTTTGTATATACTTTATGTATACAAAATGACAATAAAGTTGTCCAAGTCTATTTACTGAGCTCTTACTGAGTCTAACTGTGCTCTATTACAGACTGTATTATTGAATACTGACTCAGATCTTACCCTCTGTTATGTTTCTTTCTAGAGGAAGCCACTAACGGAGCTATTGCATTAACTTTTTACTTTTCTCAATTAAGAGACATCAGCCTTAAAAATGCATATGTTTGGAGGGTGTTCAGTGACAAATTGATAGAGTAATTAATGCAAAAGTAGGCCCCACCAAGCATTTAATGTCAATGGACATGAATAACTTTAACCATACTATTCTTTACCAAAACTTTTGGTTTTATTTTATTTCTTTTATAAACTTAATGTTTCTATAAAGTTTAGGTTTGGCTATTCTTTACTTTTAAGCTACAGTCATTGAAAACTAACAAGACGGCCTTACGTAAACATATCACCAGAATGATTGACAATTAGGAGGACCACTTATTTGGATGATCCACCTGGAAAAAGAACATCCTGCACCGCACTATACTATACTGACTATTTTTATTGGATGGATTAAACAAAAATAACTTATGGGGATTATTACAATTATTTACCATGTATATTTGAATTAACGGAATCAAACTCAGTACTTGACAAATTTGGTGAGTGATTTATTTCATAATGCAGAACTCGTGATATTCCAGGGTAAACTATAAAATATTTTAACAGCCATTCTTCTCAGCTGCTCCTAGTAAAAGTTAGCGGGCGTGGCTTTAAATACGGTTTGGACCCTACGGCTTCCCGTAGCTCACACCCTGGGCGTCGCTGCTGCCGCTACTGCTTAGGAACCAAACACTTCAACACAAACAGAGCCGGAGGGGTCTCTCACATCCAAAGGGAAAGTTAATATAAAGTGGTGAAAAGAAAAAAATGCATTCGGCCGCTCTGGACAGCAGCGGTTCCCCCAGGAAGCGGACGATTTCTCGGGGAATGAGCGAGGATGAGTCTCTGCGCAGCATAATAAAGGAGGTGAGGTAACAGATCACGGTGTTGTTGATAACTGTATACCTAAAGCGGCTGTTTTATAATCTGTAAACACGATCAGATGATGGATGTGTGCTTATTACACAGTTTATAACGAAAAAACGGCTAGATAAATAATACAGTAGCTGCCTCTGGCCTACACTTCCCCTTTCTTTGAGCTAATTTAGCCTGTGTTTTGGTTGTGATGCTAACTGTGTTTTCCCAGACCGAGAGCTCCTCCAGACGTCTGCCCCGCAGCGACAGCAGGACAGGGACCCTGAGGAAGAGGACTGACAGCCAGGTAGGAGATCAACAAGCTGGCCTCCACCCAGCACTCACCATCTCTATCATTGCAACACAAGGATTAAGCCTGAACAAGAGGATGTTTTTAGGAGTCTGTCTGTCTGTCTGTCTGTCAGAAACACATGCTTTAAAGATAAGCTGTAAAAAACAAAACAAAAAACAAAACAAAACAAAAAAAATATACATATATATACATACACATGTGTGTATATACATATGTTTGTATATATGTATATGTGTGTATGTATGTATATATAGTATGTGTATGTATATAATCATATAAAACTTTACAGTTTTATATGACTGATGTTTTAAATACAAATTCATAATGAATAATAGTAATAATAATTTACCTTTATCGATCTCATATTGGAGAAACGTACCTCTGCATTTAACCCGCCACCTTGGGGAGCGGTGGGCTGCCATGGGGAGCAGCTTGAGGTTAAGGGTCTTGCTCAGAGACCCAGCCTGGTAGCCTGATAAACCAGACTAAATGTGAGATTAAATGTGTAATTTAGTCTGGTCCCGATGAATGAGACATCGGAAATTGTTGATGAGAACAAGCAGTTGTTTTTCAAACCATGTCTGTGCCTATTGGCCAACGCTCTGACCAATGAGCGCAACTGACTGTAAGCTTGACAGAAAGTTGGTGGGGGAGTGCAAACAAACAGCCTGTCGGTAAAACGGTGAATACGTCCTTCTTAAAAATGAATGAAGCCTCTTCCTGCTCAGGTTTCAACGAAAACCCCAAGTCTTATCCTTTCAAAACTGATTTCAAATCTGAGTCAAACGAGAACTGATCAATAGTTGTTACCATCTTCCTTGTTGTGATTTCTCCAGTGTCGCACAGTTTTGTCGTCCCCTCCTTAAAACCCCACCTGCTTTGCATCCAAAAATTCAAAACACATCTCTGCGTTGTGATTGGCCCGCCAGTTCTAGGGCCTGGGGCATTGATCGAGGCTAGACCAACTCAAGGTCAAAATAATTTTGGCCGCTGGTGGGTGGGGCTACTTTACTAGGCTACCAGAGTGGCAGTCTGTGGGAGTGGCGCTTGAACTCAGAACTTTAGGTTTCCAAGCTCTATGCCCTAACCACTAGGCTGCTGCTCCCCCATTTATTTGTAATGAGATAGAATCACATTGCTTATTTCTAGATCTGAGGATCTTAGAGCTAAAAATGGCCCTTTGGTGCACTTCATTTATGAAATAAAACCCTTTGCTCTGTTTTTCTTTCTTTCGATCTATTGTTGGGTGCCCCCAGTAAAATAAACAAACATTAAAAAACACTATTTAAAGCCCTAAAGCCAAGATTCATCAAAAAAAGAAGAGCAGGTTGATGTCTCGAGGATTTTAAGTGGTATTATAACACTGTAGATTTTAGTCCAGAGTTGGTAGGATGGACCTATACATGTATGCGATTGCCTTTTGAATTTTTGTTTAAATGCTCTGCAAACTTGTTGATATTTTATGTTTGTCCTCTTCAGCAATCCGACCAGGACCTCTTCATGGGACTACCAGAAATGGTAACTCTTGTTCTTTTCTCTGTTAAAACATGAAAGTCACTTAAACAGCTGCTGATAGTTGAGTTAAAAGTCCTGGAGTAATTCATAAAAGTATTTCTGAACATATGGATCAGCAAACGACCTCCCACATATTGTCGCCTCCTCTTGTCGAGCACTGATTCAACCACACGCTCATTACCGATTAATGTGTGTGGTATAGTTGGAGCTGCAGGCCAGCTATGACGAGGCGGTGCAGGAGCTGCGTGGGCTGGAGGTGGAGCGAGAGGCTCTGTTGTTCCAGGTGGATGTCCTGCAGGATACTTTGGAGGGCGTAGAGGAGCTGCTGGCCGAAGCCCAGAGGGAAGCTGGGCAGGCAAATTTGGTAAGCTGAAATGTTTGAATCCTAACTGTATGGAAACAGGCCCAGCTCCCTATTGTTAAGCTGGTATGTCTTTTATATTTGCAGGAACTGGAGCAGGAAAGAGCAGAGAAGAGGAAACTGGAGAGCCTGGTGTCCTCTCTGATGAAGGAGGTGGAGAGATTAAGAGAGGTAAAGCAGGAAATAAAAATATAACTGGGTGTAATACAAGCAAAGGGTTACATTTACTTATAAAGGGTAATATTATGCCTGGTTTTTAAAACTTCTGTTTTTTGGCTCTTAGAATCATTTCGTAGAATATTTTCCCTGGCCATGATGGAAATCTGTTGAAAGACGTCTGAATAGAGTCCAATTGGTGATCGCCGTAGAAACAGATGTTGCTTGCTCTCTACTCAGTTTCATCATGGTTTCCATCTTGGACACTCATGACATGCATGAATAATGAGCCATAATATTTTCACAAGAGTTTAAAGAGGAATTTAAGACTGCCAACACTATGCCTGCTGCTATTACTTGCTGGAAACTGGAGCCACCATGTATAATGTTTTTATTTAATAAAAGGCTTAAACGATTAAGTAACATGATGTAAAACTAGGCTTGGTTTCCATTTGCTTTTCCTGGCTCTTGCTGTAAAGTACAATTCAAAGCCCTCCTGGTTAGGTAGTTGATGCAGATAGACCCCTCTGAAAACAAGAGATTAAAAGGGAAAATAGTGGAATATATAGAGAAAGCATTATTCTTTTATTGCCAGCCACATTTATTTTAATCTGATCAAAATAGTTCATTTTACCCAAAGGCAAAATGGTTAGCATGAAACCTGGTGAAATACAGCAAGCATATCCCATTTCAACCAATGACAACTCATCGTTTTTTTTGTTGTTTTTTTTTCAAATGTTGGTATTTCACATGCATGCTACCACTCTAACATGTTGCTTGAGCAGCTGGAAAGAAAACAGGCCCACAGCATCACCGATCCTCCACCGTACAGCTGGCATTAGAGCGGGGGTTATGGCCTATTAAGCATACACCCTCTCTGAATTTTGATCTACTGTGGTTCTTTGGGAGAGATGGTTCCAAAACATTGTCTGACCCAAACTGTTAGCATGGGAAATGTATAACTCTTGTCCAGCCTGGTGGGCAATGGTTAGAAGAAAGTGACCTGCATGATGCCAAGGGAAACAGAAAGAAATGTTCTTTTAACTATATACGATGTCCTGATTCGATCTAAAGAAAGTTACAGTTAAAGGTATAGGGGAGCATGTTCTTTTTCCAGGTGGTTTATCTAAATAAGTGGTCCTCCTAACTGTCAATCATTCTGGTGACATGTTTACAAGGGATGCACCGATCCGCTTTTTTCACCTCTGATACGATGCTGATATTTGAAGTTTAATGTTGGCCGATAACGATCCGATACCAAAAACAGCACTGACTTATTACCTAAAAAAATGGTTTTATTGTGTAAAAAAAAAAAAAAAACTGGGATAATTCGTCTGTGCATATGATTTGATTTGAAAAAAGAAAATAGGAAACAACCCAAATATAAAAGTTATGACTCTTAAACCAAAAGTTCTCTGACTTGATCAACATTTTAAAAAAGTGTCATTATCAAGTATCATCTCTGTGATTTTTTGCCTCTATACTGTTACATGGAAAATTTAACTTATTTCCAAAAAAGTTAGCTGCTTCCGGCTGCTTCCTTTTTGTTTGCCGAGTCCGATAATCTCAGCTAGTTCCTTGTTATGAAACTTCTGGAGGTGTTTCAATAAGTTGGTGGTGTTATAGTTCGAAGATTTAACATCGCCTCATGGAACATTTCTCCCACAAATATTGCACGTAGCCATTGGGCTAGTAGACTGAGAGAGCCTGAAAAACCTCCACAACGCAGATCCTTTTGCCTCGCTCCATCATAATTAATATGACGGTAGAGCATAGCCTAGAGTTCGAATGATTAGATCCGCCCCTATATTGAATCAATTGTCACAGATACCGATCTATTTTTTTCCCTTATATCTGGACCGATACCGATACAAATATCGCATCAGTGCATCCCCAATGTTTACGTGCTCGTCCCCATTTTCACTAACGTTGGTGAGTCTGACAGTGGAAAAAATTGCAAATTTTCTTTTGCAAAGTAAGCTTCTATGAGCGATCCAAACAACAACTTTGAAACAGAGCATGAACGAGGAGAAATGGGTTCATGCATGCTCTTGCAGGCGTTTAATAGGCATTCCCTCTCGGGAGCGGATACTGGGTTGTGCATGTGCGTTTTTTTTTTTTTTTAAGTGGGCAGGTCTTTTCAAAAATTCGTGGAAATCCTCCACTAGCTAGTGATTTTAAAATGCTTCGGTTTGATTATCATTAGCATCATCATAATTTTAAAGAACTTCTCAGGATTTCTTGCCATTCCCATTCAGTTTTATTTAACATGGTATGTTTTATATTAAATGTCCTGTGTGATGAAAGATCATTTATCTGAGATCTTCTTTACACATTTAAAATTTGACAGAGATGAAGATTTAAGGAAAAATCTTAAGTATATATATATATATATATATATATATATATATATATATATATATATATATATATATATATATATATATATAAACTGCTCACTAGTAAGACTTTTTTACTTTCTTTACAGGGAGAAAGCAATCAGCCGACTGCTGCGTTGAACTTGACAGATGAGGAGAAAGGCGAAACAGATGCTGTTCTGTGCGAACCTTGTATCACCAAACTTGACAACGCTGGGCTTGTTGCTGCGGAGGAAGCGGGACCAGATAAAGGTTTAGGAGAAGCAGGAAGTGTCATCACAAAGACGGGACGAGTGGTCAGCCAGAATCTGGGCCTGCCGCCTTCTCTAGCTCTACACGACATCATCTCCACCGATGGCGTTCTTCAGAGGCCCTATGAAGGGCACACGGAGGACGGGCGGGATCCGTCTCCTGACAGGAACGACTCAGACAAAAGCGCCTATGAGGACGCATCCGCTGAGACCCCAGAGCAGGACCGGACCTTTCCAGGCGATGGAGACCTGCCTGAGGATTCAGAGGAGAACGGGAAACATCCAGCTGACGGCAGCCAGAAAGAGATCAACCCTGATCTCTGTGTTTTGTCTTAAATTCAGCTGCTTTTAAAAGGGAAACTTTTTTTTTGTTTACATTTGGTTTGATTTTCACTTTTATTAGTATATAAAACATCAATCTGAGCTGCAGTTATTTGATTGATAAATCAAAAACATTCATCAGCGGCGTTTTACACTGAATGTTTACTGTTTTCAGCTGCCCTTTAAGCATAATAATTGCCAACCGTTCCCTGCCTTCCAGAAAAGATAAGAAATTTCTTTATTACACCTGAAGTCATAAAATGTAGTGACATTATTCAGGCTTTATGACTTAAAATTGCTAAGGATACGTTTTTAAGGTGGTATTTATAATTTTTATCAATCAGATCACTACAAAAAAGCTCAGGTTTTCTATCCTGAAAATCACAGACTACTTTATTTTAGTTGCCAAGCATTATGTTGACTTCTGCCTTTTACTTTTCTTTTTCTTTTTTTTTTAAGAATAGGGAAAACTGTTGGTTCATATGTCAGAACCTGATAGGATGTTATCAGGATTTGATCTGTATCCAAAACATGGTGAATTCAGGAGGAATGCAGACATGGAGCGTTGTGTTTCATTTCAAAATATTAAAGCAAGTTCATGTCACATGTTGAGAAAGTTTAGAAATGTAACTCTATGGAATATTATCCATGAAGATTTTTTAATTATCTTTGAAGATTGAAATACATTCCTCAGTTTTCAGATACTTTTATACAATCCTTTTGATATGCTTTACTCTGAAAGTTTATTAAGAACATGGTTGCATTTGCACTTTTCTTTTTTAGGAACAAAGTTTTGTCAGATTATAAACACAAGCAAACAAACACGTCAAGTGTGAAATAATCTTGTTTCAACAGGCTGAATACACTCTGCCTCCACAGAGACCATGTGTGTTTGCACTTTCTTTGTGGAACCTGCTGAAATGTCTCTTTAGACGTCTTTTATTGCTGTAAACATGTTTTATGCTGTCACATTACTTAAGCCAGCTGTAAACTGGTGCACAAACATACATTACATATTCATTGTTTTACAAGCTGCAAATGAAATTATTCTGGTCATGAAATCTACTTAATGCACAGATTTTTACTTTTGTCATTCACTGGTTAATGTTTCATGTTTTTCTTGCTAGAAAATACAAATATTGAAACTTTCAAAGAAATCATGCCAGATTATGCTAGGTTATCTTTGAAAAATGCTTATTATTTAATCACAACTGATTGGATATCTATAGTGCATTTTAGTTGCATCAAATCAGAAATAATCTGGCTGTATCACAGAAATTGTTAAACAGACAATTGCTTTTTATCGTCAAAAAGATTTTATCTGCCATCCAATTGAAATGTGTCCTTCAGATGTTGCCAGCACTTGTTTAAAACAATTTTACAAATGCTGATCACACATAATGCAAAAAAAAAAAACAAATGCCCTAAAGCCCTTATTGTATCTTAAAGCCTTTTGTTGGTCTTAATATTTTCTATCATGTTGCTGGTTTTTAAATGTTTTGTTGTAAAAAAAAAAAGGATTTATATGACAATAAATTGACGTTGACATGCATTTTGTCTTCATTTATTCAACTTTGAGACATAAGGAATGCTTTCACATGCAGCTCTGAAGATTGGCGCTGAGGAATTAACTAAGTTTAATTTGCTGTGTTTGTGATTTTTTTAGAAGATGAGACCAAGATGACATCATAGCAAATATTCTAATAGCAATCTTGTGCAGATTATTGAGTAATGCAAAATGAGGAAGAAGAAGTTTGCAAAAAGAAAAATATTCCCAGGAAAACAATGAAAGAGACATTAAAGAACCTTCCAGTTTAACATGTTTCAGTTTTTATCCTACTGGTTCAAAATAAGAATCATCAAAGCCTCCTTACTTTTGGTTCCATTTTTAAAGTAAATATTGGTGACTGGGTTCAGCAGGATATTATACATTCCCCTATTTTAAGGATTTAATGGTGATAAAGTTATTTCCATTTACAGAATTGTTCATGTTATTAGCATCCCTGTTCAATTATACAACAATTTTGAAGAAATGAAACCATTATTTTAGCACATATTTCTGTTTATAACAAAATAATCAATGCTATGATTGCTTTTGCCTCAGCAGTTAATACTTTATGGGGAAAAGTGGAACAAAAGTAATAGAAAAATAGTGAGTTTTTATGAATTTATTCAGAAATATAAGGTGCTTTTAATAAGAAATAAACATATAGATAAATAAGAGATAATATCCCCTCCCATGAGAAAAGCTCAGATGCACCTTTACATAATGAAGACACCCTTTAATTGCCTGTGTTTTTAAAGCATAATTAACATGAATGTTTAACATGCATTTTTTATAAAGTGAAACATCAATGATTGTAGATAAGCAATAAAAAAATGAAAAAAAAAAACCTTAATGTAAAATAGAATTTCAATGTAATGTCTGATGAGGATTAATTTATATCGGTGTGTAATTGTTTTATAATTTAAGATTTGAGTTAAGCACATAGATATTTAGTTTAGTGTTCTCCATACATTCACACTGAACATATGAAGAGCCATCTGAGATCCTCAGAAAGAAGATTTTTGTAGCTTATAAGTCTGATGTTCTGAAAGATGACTCAGCTGAATTCAAAACCAGGAATTTCATCACATAGAAAACAGTCTTAAATTGCTAATCTGCTTAGATCTAGTCATCCAGGTACGTAAGAGAGAAATGAATTAGTTACGTTAAAGGATCCTGCTAGTGTTTTAAAAGCACATGTCTGTACAGTCAGAAAGATTTATAAAGGTTAACGACAGAAGAGAATAGAGGGAAACATAAGGCCCGACCAAAGTCTGACTGAATACAAAAACAGCAATGTTCTACAACAGATGAGTCTAAAATATAATTTTATTGAACACCATAAAAGGGGATGTGGTTAAGATAAAAACGTCAAGCATTCCAGGAAAAAAATCATCCTACTAACTGAAGCATGGAAGTAGAAGTGTCATGCTTTGCTAGAGGAGGGCATGTCTAGCTCACCCTCAAAGATTTCCCTGAACTTGACTTCATCAACATGCTGCACAGTAAAACATCAAACAGCTGAATGTAACTAAGGAGACGGGCAGATGGTTACCCGATGAAGCTCTAAAAGTCAAAGCCAGAAAGGATCATTGGGTGTGCTAAAGATATTCTCATTTTGTTTATTAAAATATTTAGTTTAATGAGTAAAACAACTTTAAGTCTTTACTTGCTATCTTTACCAAAGACAAAAAGCATTTTTAGACTTCTTAATATTTCCTAATAAAACATTTATCTAATCTTTTTACAAGGCTGTACAGTCTGAGCATTGATGAATAAAATCAATAAATAGTCAAATTCAATGTTTATTTTTGTTATCAAGCACAGTCTGTGGGGTGGCCAGAACTGTAGGGATGTTTAGGCTTTTTTAGACATCATTACCGGAGGTACCAGTACTTATTGAGAGTACCACATTTACAAATCCCAACTTTCTCAGTTGTTGGATTTCACCAGAAGTTTTTCATAAAAATCTGGATTTTAATGGCAGTCAAAGCAATACGCCATCAAGAAGCCATTCAGAATTAAAACAAGGGGGAAAAAAATTAAACCATGATAGAAAACATTTGCCTCTTAACTTTAAAACACAGTACAAAGCCTCATCAAAACAAGCCTTTTTCTTTCTTTAGGTTCAGCTGCTTCCACTGTGGTAGGCCTGCAAATTCATCTTTGGTCATCGAAAATACGCTGCTGAAGTCATCATCAGAGAGGTGCTTCTGAAAAAAAAATAAACCCAGAGAAAAACCTGTAAGTGCAAAATGTTTTTAGGGGTATCTCTGTTAATGTACAACATAAACATAATATTTCATAATCATCCAGATTGTTGTTAGAGAATTAATTCAATCGGATAATAATAAAAGAGTTTAAAAGACTAACAAATTTTATTTAAAAAGCACAAATAAGTTCATCCAGCTGAGCATATTGTGACCGTCTGTGATCATCTTTTCCTCTCACAAGTACAATAAAACACACACCTCTTTTGCGGAGGGGTCCACACCTTCAGGCAGCTCTTCGGTTTGTTTGTTTACCAACAGGTCAAGAGGGAAAGACTGAACGTTTTTTTCTGTCACAGAGGTTTCCTCCTGGAAAAAAATAAATAAAAGAAAAAAAGTAGAGACTCAGACTATGAATCATCATTTCAGCATTTAAGGGAAATGCTTCTTCTTTTTATTGTTGCAGGGTGGAGGATAGATCTTTGCTAAAAAAAAAAAAAAAGACTTTTTATTCTTAACAGTGGTATTGTAACTTTGGATTTAAGCATCAAAGCAGCATCTCAAAGGAAAATGATTTCCTTTAAGATGCTGCCGCCACCTGCTGCTCTGCATTCCTCATTAATAGGAGTGCTTGATAAAGTTGAAAACAAGATAGATATAATAAAGACATCTATAATTTTGGATTACAAAATATGTAACTGAATTAAAGAAAAGTAACTGTCAGTCATTTAATGCTAATAATATAGCTTAATTATGAAACTAAATGCAACAGCAAGTTTTCTGTTTACCAAAAGGTTTTGAGTCACTTACAGTTTGAACAAGAATGGGTGTCAATTCTTCTCCCAGTTCTTTCTTCAGCTCTTCATAGCTCTTTCCTCCCTATATTACAGGCAATTGTTTTTAAAAGAAATATAAAAAAGAAATTAACAACATGGTTGTTGGCTTGCGTCTGAAAAGACTCACGCTCCATTTAGAGGGATCCCAGGCAGCAAACCAGCCGGTGAAGGTGGGTGGCTCGAAGCCCTGCTTGATCAGGACGATGGGTGTGTCTGGATCTCTGTTCCCAGGGTGGGTGCGCAGGTACTCCTGGCTCGTGACCACAGCTTCTTTGCGCTCCACCTCATTCGCCTCTTTGCCAATCCACAGAAACAACTAAGGATGACAATGAAAAAAAGAAATGTAAAATGAGATTAAGTCAAAAAAGGGGGAAAAAAACAGCTTGTTTATCAAAAGCTCTGCATCTTACCTGGTCCCAGGTATCCAGCAGCATGACGTCATCCTCACTGAGGTCATCCTGTGTGAACTGAGCCACCTCATTGACGGTGAAACGCCCTGTCTTATTGGAGCATTCAAACAGGCGTGGCTCATGGTCTAAAACCATTTGCTGTAATCTGCAGAAACAAAAACATAAGCTTAACAACACAGCATCAGATGGGCGTCTCCTGCTGAGGCTGTAGTACAAGTTAAATAAACGCTGATATTTGTGTCGTTTTTTTACCTTTTGTCATTTGCGTAAGGAGCTTTTCCTCCAAGCAGTTCCCAAAATTCAACAGGTTCCTGACCCTCCGCTACAATCTCTTCAAAACCTCTTTCTGAGCCAAGGCCGATCACAGAGCTCACCTCCTTTGCCATGGCTCTCTCATCTCCACTTGATCCCTAATAAATGAGCCCCAATGTTTACGTGCAGTTTAACAGGATCACAACCATATGTAAAATTATCAAGAGAAAAGTAACTTTAAAAAAAAGAAAACTTTAGGAACATTGTACAGTTTTTGTGTTTGCAACCAATGAAGGGGACAGAGAAAACATGTTTAAGAGGGTGTGCTATTCAGAAGAGATCGGCATTAAACTCTAAGGTCTACATGCAGAGTGTTGTATGAAGTGGAACACTAAAGGCCTGGTTATGCTCCTGCAGCAGTGTGTCGCAGTGAGCTTGATGCAGATATGTTATTCCACTCCACAACGCAAGAGGGACAATCCCGAACTAGCTGTGGGTGTAGATACGGCTGAGGCGGTGAGGAGGGACATTAGGGCGAAAAAGAGCAGGGATCCAGGTGGAAAGAGGGTCCCGACACACGCAGACGACCTAGTTTCTGAGTATAAATCAGCCTTAAGGCTACGTTCACTCTGCAGGCCTTAATGCTCAATTTCATTTTTTTTGTGATATCCGCTTTTTTTTGTTTGCCTTGCTGTTCACATTTACAAATATATGCAGCTTGTACGTGATCTCCTGTGTGAACCGCATTCATACAACGCAAGGGTCCCACCTGGCCAGTAGAGGACGCAATGACATCGCAAGCAAGCGTGCTCTGTGTTTAGGAAAGTAAACATGGATGGTAATGCTGGAGCACATCTAGCGATCTTTCCCAACCTTAAAAACTATATCTTTTCAAGATGTTTAAAAATTTAATTATCATCAGTCATGGTTGTTGTTTTTCGTTCCCCTTCTGTGCAGCAAAATGCAGAACAGTGACCTTTGTTGAGTATTAATAATGTTCAGGTCGGATGAATGCGATCTGGCCGTTCAGACATAGATTACATTTGAAAAGATTAGATTCATATTGGAATTGCTTTGTGGACATAGCCTAAGAGTTAAACATGGCGGTGGTAGGATCAGGCTGCGGAGATGGTTCTCTTTAACATGGACTTTTGAAAGTTGGTGGGAAGACGGATAAAGCTAGACACACGATAATCTAGAACATAAACCTAGTAGAGCAGGGGTGGACAATTCCAGTTCCTGAGGACCAGTATCCTGCAACTTTTAGATGTGCCCTTGGTTCAACATACCTGAGTAATTAGATGATTGAGAGGAATCTGGAGGAACTGACTGCTTACTGAGGAGGTAAGTGAGCTATTTGTTTCATGTGTGTTGGACAAGTCTGGTCTTCAAACAATGTTTTAGTCATAAGGGAAATAAAAAGGCTTTTTTTTCCAGCAAAAACTTAAAGCCTCTTTAAGTTATTTGGGAGAAAAAAGACCAATGTCAGTGCCTTGATGTCAAGAGGTAGTAAAGATATGGCAAAAAAAATTGTAGCTTCGCCTGGACTGTCAGTCTGAATGGACTGCCATCTCTTGGAAAGTTTCAAGTTCGGCAAAGCGCTTTTTATTTCAGATGTTGGATTACAGATGGCTCCATGACACCACCGAGGTTTAAAATGTTTTTTTATAACCCTAAACTACTCTACACTGCTAAAACACAGCTTTCTCCATGACCTACTGCTGGGTTTGTTTGTCATGATGATGCCATTTGTTCACATCATGCTACCTAAAAAAACCTCTGAGGCCTAGAGAGAAAAGCCAACAGTTATATTTTGAAAACAATTTCATAGGCTAGATTTTATTTGTGGAGTTAGAGTCTAGGGGGTTAAATACAGGAGTGTGCATCACTGTTCAAATTATTGTTCCTATGACTAAGCGCTACTTTGTGTTGGAATATCACCTGCAATCCCCAAATACATAGAAGTTTTTGATTGTAACATGACAAAATATGAGAAACCTCAAGCTGCATTAAATTAATTTGCAGAGCACCAAATCCGTTGTAAACAAACAAACAAATGCATGAGGAATCGGTTGTATCGTTGATGCGTCTTGTTCACCTTCCCACACCACAGATAAATTCCTGTTTGGCTCTTAAGCAGAAACACATCGTTGGAGTTCAGGGAGGTGGCCAGCGCTGGAACTTCAAAGGTTTTAGTGTTGGACTGGTCAGAGCCGCGGACCTGGAAAAGCCTTACTGGAGGCTCAGGATCAGAGCATCCATTTCTGGATGTGCCACCCTGAAACAACAGAAAAGCACTGAGCATCATGGTTGGCATTAGGTTAATTTCAACACAATTATATAAATGCCATCTTACATCAAAAATAACCATTTTTCCCTTGAACATTGCCATGAAGTGTCTTGGTTCCTTTCCCATTGTTACTCTCACTTGAACTGGCTCTCCGTTGTATTTCTGATCTAAGTTCACAGCCTGAAATGCCGAAGCTGCCAGTTCATCCTGTGTGGCGTTGCGCCCCTTAAGGACACAAATGAAAAAGCACAGAAATATCTCACCACACAAAGACGAGGCAGCTAGATATAAAGTAATGGAGTTACCATATCCTCACCTGCCACATGTACAGCAGATAACACTTTTTGTTGTTAACTAGGTAGGTGTAGAGGATCAGGTAGCAGTCTCCTCCATAAAAGTATCCATATCCCTTTGGGTCCACTGGGGCAAGCTCCAGGTTCTCCACTCTCCACACCTTAAGGAAATCAGGAGTTAACTAAGTTGACTAAACATCATCATGTCTAAGAGCCAGAAAAATATAAAGAGATTCAAAGTTATTAAAAAAAATTATACATTAAAAATGTATGCCCACTCATTGGAGAAAAAGACTTCCATTATTAGAGGACTCCTCTTTACGCACCCCTGAAACTAATAACAAAATTCCTGCATCTGAAATGCTTTTTTTTCTTAGTGTCTTTGCCAAATGAACATGACAATATTTGGCTGCAGTTGTGTTCTTATTATATATAGCATTCTCATGTTCCTAAGTTCCCGTTCAGCTTAACCCCTGTGATTTAAACAAAAACCGATCGACGGTGTGTTCACACTGAATGCAGAGGTTTTGGTCACCTGTCATTGGTCTACTAATGTTTCAACCCCCTGCTGTTGAATCTACAAAAATCCACTCAGCTTGCTTCACTGCATTATAAAATAGGAAGAGTGTCTATCCGCTTAACCAATGTTAGAACATATTCTGCACCTCACGGGTCTAAATATATGATGGGGCACAGAATATGGTGTATCACCCATTATCTGTTCAGATCACCATGGCTGCAAGCGAGTCACAGGGCTGTATGGGAAATAGAAAGCTAAATAAATACTTATACTGGCAGTGTGTTGCTCCTACAGGCACCAGATCACATGGATATCAATCACTCCAGTGTGAGTCTACCTTAGGAGTGATGATTCTGGTCAGAACTTTTTAAAATATACCTGATTTTTAAATTTTTATTCTCAAGCGTTAATGTTATTCTGCAGTGAATCATAAGACTTAAGTCACCATGGTGAGCTTTTAAATTCCTTTTGAGGTGTCTGTTTGTGTAGTCTCCAAGCTCCCGTTCTCAAACAACATCAGCCCCTGATCCCTTCCTTTTTAACTGGTACATTTTCTGAACATTATGCAATTAACCTTTTCTGACAACTTTAAGGTGTTTCCACTGCTGCTCTCTGCTCCTTTCTTTTTCTTTCATGCTCAGAACATGTAGTTTGACTTTAAATATGATTCTAACGATAACTAAGAGAAACATTAAGCTCAAAAAATGGATGCAATATCCCCTTTATTTACGGTACATCTGAATCATGACAGGCAGAAAATGTTCCCACATTGGTAGACGTGAACACATCCAATAAAGAGCAGTTAATAAATTAGTGGAAAATTAGCTTTGAGGTCACAACAGCAGGCAGTATGTGAGCAAAGCTTTAAATCTAAGAAAATACTAAATGATGCAAAGATAAAAATGCTGAACAAACTGACTCTACGCACAGTGTTTATGGTTTGCTTTGAAACCTCAGCCATTAGACAACCCTCATTGCTGGGAGGCTGTCCAAACGGCAGATTGTCCTGCAGGATAATGACTTTGCAGTAGCTATAAATTGAGTTGTTGTTAATTTCGATGCCCATTCCCAAAGATATCCTAAGGAATGAGTGGATGTTGGGATCCCTAACATCTACTTTGATTTTATTTCTCTTTCAGTTTTTTTTTATCTTAAATTAAGCTTTTCTAGTTGAAACAATTTTAGTTTATTCATTGTAGATAATATTCTTAGCTTCTTTCTTAGGATCACTCTTTGTTAGATTTCTCCATTGAGTTTTACTCTGTTTGCTCCCTGGATTTCCCTAATTCCCCTCAAATGTTTTTAGATCTGATCTAATTAATCAGCAGCTCTCTGGGCCTTTTCTCTCATCTCACTAAAACATACAACCTACCTGATTTATTCCTTTCATTAATGGTTCCTACTGTTTGACTGCTCTATGTCTGTTTATTCCACATTTCCTCTTCTTCCATTGCTACGACAGGTCAACATTTGTCCAGTGATCTCCTACGTTGTTTTTCCTTGATTATTTTTTAAATTTTACCCCATTCAGACTATGGATCCTTCAAACCAAAATATGACAGAGGGTAAATTGTGGTGGTTAGAGGGTTTCAAACCTTCCTAGTATTCCCGTAATAAAGTAAAAAATCAAATGGTAACACTTTATAGGCTATTCACCATATTCAGGCAATAATAAATATTACATCATGATATGAATAATTGCTGAAGGTAAGGCCATCGATTCTTATTCCTGTTATTTTACTGTGCAAGGCAGCTGATACTAAATGGTCTTTTTTCATTTAAAAACAGTTATGCAATAACAATATCCAGCAACACATGTTTTTGTTTTATGTATGGCATTCATAAAGGGTGAATTTTATGGAAAATAAATTGTGATGTCCAAGAGAGACCTGATCCAGCAGATGAAGCATCACAAAAACATCTAATGCATATTCATAGTTGCAGATAATGCATAAAATTCAGCAATCATTAGGGACGTGCACAGATAGACACTAGGTGGTGATAGAGCACCTGCCATTTTTTTCCTCTGGACAAAAAAATGCCCTCCTGAAATCATTTTTGTTTGTTTTTCTGATCAGTCTTTGGCCCAAAATTCAATTTCTGAATTTAAAACCTATCAACCAGAGTCTAGATTTTTGTAATTTGCTCCATGAGAGAAGTAGCACCACCTCAACAGAGCCTTGACCTGGTGAAAGGCCAGCTAACCGTCTAGGTAACTAAGCAAGTGTATTTACCTCCTTCACCAGCTGGTTAGTTCACAGCATAACATATTTAATTGCCTCTACCAGGTGCCAAGACATGGTTTAAAGTAAAACTCTTTGATTAAAAATATATATACCGGTATATAACTTAAAGCATTCATAGATTTAATTATTGATTTGCTGTGATGGTCCCTGTCAGGGACTCCCTGATGACATCTATTTGATTTTTAATGACAGCTATAGCACACAAGTGACCTTTTGTCTGTTAAACATTTAATTTAAAAGCAAACATAAGGCCAAATTATCACAATTCATAAAAAATGACTTTAATTAAGTTCTATTCAAGTAAAGTGGGGCCTGCAGATTAGGCCACATTTTCAATTACTGTCTTGGACTGCTAAAAATGAACATATGTAAAATTAACTGTATTTATCTTTATTCTGAACAGAAAAAAATGATGATCTGTCTCTGGAATTGGAGTTTTAAAGTTTAAAAATAATACTAAAACATATTACTTACTTGAAATAAGATAAAAGAGATGTTTTTTTTCATATTTTAAATGTAAATCTCAGTTCATCTGCAAATTGTCATATACACCCAATTAACTTGAACATATTCTGGAATCCTGGGCTTTAAATATATCAGTGAATTTGAAACTGTAATTTATTTAAGTGACACCAATGTGGCATTGCTACCTATGGACTGCGGAAGATCGCTAAACATCAGCATCAGACGGCGTTCGGCTGTTGGCGTCTCAATGCGACGTATAAGGTGAGAGAGAGTCAATTTCCCCATTGTGAGACAATAAAGGGATTTACATAAGGTGTCCTATTTTCAACCTGAGCACCTTCCCCCAGAAATGTCTGTGAACGCCAGTAATTACACCACTAAGTTTTAGTCGCCCTTTATGCTGGTTGAATAGATCATTTTAAAGTTTATAAAGTCTATAGAAGATAATACGTAAAATAGGCCTAGAAATAGAATTAAAAGTAGAACACAGCCGATCAGAGATTGACTGATACAGGTTTCTAGATTTCTTTAATGTCATATCCAGCTGTTCCAGAATTACACTAAGGCCTTTTAACTTAAAGATTACATCTGAAAAAAACTGAATTAATCCAGGAAACAAATGTAACAAACCCAGGTCATAAAGTATGAAAAATCTGCAGCAGGTTTAGCCCAGAGGGTCTTAGGAGCAAATTCCGCCTATAATTACATATGTGAATTAAAGCAAGGGCAGCTTCCAAGATATAAACTGGAAATACAATTGTTTGTATTTGTATGACAAAAAGGCATTGAGGAATATTTTTCAATTGGAATCACTATTTTAAATGTCATCATGTCTGATGTATAGCCTCCCTAATATTTATTCCAAAATAAACACCGCAAAACATCATGAAACCCTTTTTGAAGCTCTGGACGAACCCTCAGGCTTTATAGATCTGCATCTTGATTATAACTCGAGCAAATTTGGACTGAATGAGCTGAAGCAAGTTTGTTCCACAAAAGTTTTATTGGGCAGTGCGGTGCCAAAAGTGGCCAAATTGTGCCAAATTCCTTTTTTCCATTTATAAAAGGGAATCAGGCAAGACAAGTATGCTGATTTACATTATTGGAGATCTTCTGCATAAGGCAAAGCCTTTGCTCCTAAGAGTTAGCCGTTGTTTCTATTAAAATTCATCATTGAACACACAATAATTTCATAGAATTGAACGGAAAACAAGAATAACAGAGCAAACTTATGTAATGGATGCCAGTTACATCATCCTAAATGGTTGCACAATTACCTCCGACCGCTCCTTGGAAAGGTCTGAGCCTATAGTTTCCAGTGATGCTGCCCATTATGGGTTGTGGCTAAATATGAAAACCTTCTGTTGCATTACTCTCGCAGAGTCACATATGTCAGGTGGAATTTTAAATCTCATTTTATCTGTTTACACAGCTATAAAACAAAAAGCACTTAAAGTAAAAACATATTTTTAAACATGTTTTAGAAATTGTAAAGCCCCATTTTAAAGGTGTGTGGATGAAAAACCATGTGACTGTATTTTGGCCATTTCTATAACTGGATCAACGTGAGCAGGTGTCAGATGGGCTCGGTACCAGGTTCTAAGGGCTCAAGGGGTTAATAGAGGTAGTAGTTCAGAATGTAATTGAAAATAAAGGACTTAATATCTTCCTAACCTTTAGCTGTTTTGTTGTTTTGGGGAATCAATGTACAAGCTGTTTTATTGTTTATGCATTTATCACTTAATTTTAAACCAAATAATGCAACTTTTGATTTTGATTTTCAAAGAAATGTGTCAATATTTCTGCTCAGTGGCGCCGTGGGTAGCACTGCTGCCTTGCAGCAAGAAGGTTCTGGGTTCGATTCGATTCTTTCTGCATGGAGTTTGCATGTTCTCCCTGAGCATGCATCGGGTTCTCTCCGGGTACTCCAGCTTCCTCCCACAGTCCAAAAACATGACTGTTAATTGGCTTCTCTAAATTCTCCTTAGGTGTGAGTGTGTGTCAATGGTTGTTTGTCTCTGTGTTGCCCTGCGAAGGACTGGCAACCTGTCCAGGGTGTACCCTGCCTCTCGCCCATTGTTAGAAAATGGATGGATGTCTCAATATTTCATCAAATAGTATTTTGAGTATTTGGACATTGTCCCTATGAGAAAAATAAATTTTACTTCAACTGTCTGATGCATCACAAATTTAAAATACTTTAGTTTTAATAAAGCAGATGGTGGAATTACACTGAGGTAAGATTAAGGTTTGGAAACCTGCACCAAAGTTCAGATTCTGAATATGAAATATACACAGATTCTCAGTTTAAAAACAGAATTTTGTAAGAGTATTTTGTCTTTGACTATATGGCTGTGATACAATTAGTGGAATGTAAAAACACCTTTTATTTTGAGGTGTATGGTTAAAAAAAAACAACAACAAATAAATACTTCACCTCCACCTGACCTCCACCGTTGTCTACCATTCTCTCCTGTGCAGCAACCTCTGGCATGGCGTGCATCAGGGAGGCATCGAATTTCTCTTGTGTGATGTGAGCTAACATCAAAGTGGAGGGGAAAAAATGACTGACTGGCATAGTCTGACATTTTGTTTTTGTTGTAATATTCCAAATGTTATTTTTCTTTTGTCATACCAACGTACCAATTTTGCCCCTGGTGTTCACCTTTCCGAGGCCTTGCGTCTGGTCTTTCACAGTCCACCTCTGGAAGAGCTGCTTGAAGAGAGCTGACTCTCCGCCATCATGCACTGACTCAACATTAGTGGTCATAGGGTAGTTTTTTGCTTTAATGAAGTCCTGCAACAGGCAGAAAACAAAACGAATGGGGGAAAAAGGTAGCTAACCTCATCTGTGCTGATGTGGGACACTCACCACAGCTCTGGACATGGCAGCCTGTCTTTCAGCTTTGTTTGCTTTCTTCCCTTTCCAAACAAAGATCTTACTCCCTCCTTGGTCCAGGATAAAACAGTCCTGTACAACATGTGGATAATTGTTATTTTAAATGGAAGCATGTAATTAGCATGTGCAGACCTCCAAGCAAGCATAATGTTCTTATAAAATCAAAATCACTAGTTTAATCATCCATTTTTATCACTTATAGCTTACATTTTCTGCTATATGTATCTGTCATATATTGCAAATAAAGGTTCACATTTCATTAGATGAAAGTTGCATTAGTAATTGATGAACATGTAAAAAAATCGTTTTTGTTTTATAAAAGAGGTTGACACAAAACTGTATTCGGCTGCTTTTACCAGAGCAGTTGATTGAAGCATGTGGACTTAAATAAGAATTGCATTTGCTTCTTTTAAGGTTTTGGAGAAAGTTAAGGCAAAATTAATTTTAAACTATAAAAAATTTAATGTTTACTTATAACCTTTTTCACCCTTATGCCACACAAACTAATTGTTTTGTCTTTACTGAAAAGATAACTTGATTGAGGTAAAGAAACCAAAACAATTTGATTAAAATGATTAGTTATCATCTGGAAATCATCAAACTTTTTTGTATCTCTTTTAATTTTTGAAATTGTAAAATAAAAAAATAAAAAATTTTTTTTTATTATTATTATTGGTACATCTGTACCCCATGCCTAATTTGTTTGTCCCATTTATTTTTTAGTTTCTGTATAAATCATTTTTTGTATTTTTATTTTTTTGGTAAAAGATTCCAGATTTGTGTTGATAATCTAGCCTTCCATATAGTTGGAAAGGAATCTGATTCTGTTTCAGGTCAATTGCAGCATCATTTGAAAAGCCTTGATGTTCTTCATACTTCCACCTTTCTTCAATGGTTCTATCTTTGATTGTGAGTTATGATTTAAATCTAAAGATTGATATTGAAATCTATCATTGTTGTCAGACGTGTAATGCTGGATAATCATCTCAAATTTGCCAATTTAGGATGCATAAGAGAGGCAAGGAAGCAGTGTTACAAACCTTCAGAAAATTAGAGATTGTTGTTCAATTTATATGCTAAGAGATAATCCTGTGGCAAACGACTGCTGGTTTTGGTTATTATTGTGCATTTTCTTTGTGGGTTGTTTTTAAATTGTTATTAATCTGCTTTAAACCTCATATCTAACAGGCTTCCTATGTGAAGGATTGCAGTATTATTATGGCAAAAAAAAAAAAAAAATTTTAAAGCCTAAATCTTGTCTTTATGAAAATAAACAAAGGATTGAGTGGACCTGGATTGTATTGATTCACCTCATGGTTGAGCAGATCCTGAACTAGTGGATTTGTAGAGATCTCTTCCACTTTCATTTGGCCATCTGCATCTGACACGCTGAAATCAAAGACAAACATTCAAACAATAACCAACAAATGGACAGACTCTCATCCACACTAAGGTTTTGAAGACAGATGAATGGAGCGCCCTACCGGTAAAGTGTGAGTTTTCCCTTTACTTCCTGGTCGACAGTCTCATCCGGCTTCCCATCTGGCAGGCTGGAGGGTTTTTCACCAAGAATATTCTTCATGACCTCCATTATCTGAGGAGAGTTACTCTCGGCGTTTCCTTCTATCACTCTGACCTCTGACCGGCCTCCTCTCTCTCTGTCTCGAATGTCTTTGGCCAGCAACATACCCTGGGAGGCAGAGATGTTTTTATGCTTTGGTCTGGATTCTTTGTTATAATTTAATTTATTTACCTCTTCCTTTTATTTATGGGGTTTGAAGATTCACAATTTGTTGGTCTATCTGGCCTTCTCTAGCCATTTATTATTTATTAATCAGCCTTTATTAAAACAGTAAGAAAATAACACCCAATACATTGATAACAAAGACTCATTTAAAAGGGTGACTCGGCCAAGAGGTCAATAACAAACACAAATTAATAAAAGAAAAACAGTTTTTTGTTATGTTGAGTGCAATTTGTAACAGTAATTCAGAATTATTCAGAATTACAGGCATTACCATCATGGACACTGGAAAAAGAAGATAAAGTGCAAGATTTAAAGTAATACAGTTTTCAAAAAGACAAATTCAGACATTTTTCCTACAAACTTGAAGCAAATTCCAAGCAGGAGTAAAGTAATTAAACACTGGAAAAACGATCTAGAAACAAGTAAAAATTTCTTAAATAAAGTGTATTTACCCTTAGCTTGAGTAGGTAAATGAGGTAGTTTGCCAATGGAATGATTATTTTTACTCTTAAAATAAGATAATTAGATAACATGCACTTGAAATAAGACAATGCAAATGCCTTTTACTTATTTTAAGTGTAAATTGTCTTGTTCCACTAGCCATTTACAATGGAAATGGCCATTGTAAATTGATCAAATGATTAAATGTAATCGCTTTTACCTCCTCAATCCAAGGACAAATGCACTTACTTTTAGAAAAAATGACTTATCTAGATTTCGATTTATTTCCAGTGAAGCCATCCAACGTCATTGTGCCTGTTTTGTATCAGAGTTTCCCCTTTTAGAGTACTAACAATCTGAACTATCTCTTTACAAGTTTTCTTTTGGGGAAGTTATGACACTAAATATCTGGACAATATGCACTCCAAGGATTACTTTCCTAGTTTTTAACTGTGCCCTTTCATGTCTCTCAACGTTGCTACGGTGATTTAGCTGCTTTGGCTGGATAAAGAATGAATTGTGGTGAAATTTACAGTCGTGCAATGATGCAAATCTTTATGATATTGATGAGCATGAACTGAAAATGTGAGCAGTGTTTAGTTAGCTGGGTAATGGTTGTAAAATGTCAAAAAATGGGGGGGGGGTGCTTCTTCCTGATGCATCATTCATGTTATCGTTTGCTGTGTCTGATCTAATATCTTTATGAGTCCTATGTCCAAACACTGATATAGGGACTTATTCAGTCAGAGGAACCGTACTTTAAGCCTTTCCTGCCTGTTGCTCTTGGGTCCGTTCCACTGGATAATGGTCTTGCCGAGGTCTAACAGAAACACATCTCCAAGGTTGAAGCTCTTCCAGCTCATCTCCACCTGAAACCAACATCCAAACAACTAGTTGAGAAACACAAGATTCAACAATTTGCATTGGGACTGTATGAGAAAGAGCAGTGCAGAGGTAGCACATGAGGTAACAGTGAAGTAGAATAGAAAGGATTTATGATTTATTTTAAAGAAAGCTATTAGAAGTGTCCATAGAGCAGGACGCACAACATGTGACCTTTTTGGACCATAGGCAAACAGCTGTTTGATGAACAAGCCAAACACTGAACTTAAACCTGGACACAATATACAAACAGAGAAGAATGGGTTAGAGCACCATGTAGTGGCAATGCTCTATTTAATGGAGGCTGATCAGAGTATATGGGAAGAGCTAAATAGCTACTTGGAGATGCTGGAAGAAAAGCTGTTGAAACCTCATCCAAGCTCACCTTCAACAGGACAGCAGCACTGAATATACTGACAGCGCTATACTGCCATTGTTTAAATCTAATTTATTTGCGGCATTACATGAAAAGCGATGTGTGCTAACCTTACGATCCAATCTGAGATATTTTGAGCTTTTCTTTTAAAGAAGATCAAATCAGAATTTCAATATTTAGGTGGGAAAAGTGATCTGCAGCTGTGTCGCAGCAAAAAGTGTTGACATGGATGTCTAAATGCAACCACATTGCACACTCTAAAAAATATTTTGTGTCTATACATAATTGAATATCCTTCTATTTTGCGAGTCTATGCATCTTTGCGAGCCAATGCATCTTTGTGTTGCTCTATCACATACATTCCCTGAAGCTTATGCCTGAGATGTTGCAAAATGTTAAAAAGGTTTAAGAGGCAGGAATACTTTTGCAATGTGTTGCCTTTATATATAATGTGTTGCTTACCTCCTTTGCAACGACTCTCTTCTTGCCTTTTACATGAAGCAGCCTCTCAATGTTATAAGCATTGGTTTCTGTGTGCCTCATGCCAGTTGCAACTCCACCTTTCTTATAGCTAAACAAAACAGAAAAAAATGTGAGAAGAATTTTTTACTTTCTCTTAAAATCGATATGTAAAAATATCTTTGGCTTACATGATCCCATTTTTGAAGTATCCCTTGAATGTATCCGACTCATTGTGCTGAACCTCTCTGTACTGCACTGGGGCTGAGCCTAAGAAGTCGTCCAGCTGTATGGTGTACACAGCAGCTGCCCCCTGCTCATCCTGGCTGGACTCTGAGCCTATCCAGAAGTGAACGTTGTAACTCAAGGAGCTTTTCAGCTTCTGTGTCTGGAGAAAAAGAAAAATGTAGAATCCATGTGTGCATCAACATACCGGTATATGGAAATGTAAAGACTTCAGTAGGATGCAGCTCAATAAGAGATGAATCTTTTAGATCATTTTGAAAAACGTAAATGAGCATTGCAATATGAGACTTACAAACAGAAGTACATAGCAGTCACCCTCATAGAAGTTTCCAAAGGACTTCTCAGGAACTTGAACCAACTCCATTTTCTGTTGCACAGAGATGACCACAAAACACTTTTACTTACAGTACGACTGAATTTACCTCTCAGAATGTGCTGCAGGTTACCATTAAATAAGGGCATTAAATAAACAGAAGAAAAAAACTCATTTACCTCAACTCTCCAGATTATAATCCCCGGGTTGCGGGTTACTGCTCTGAAAGTGTACTCCATGTTGCTTCAACGCTCACAGCTTTGCTTTTTTGGATAAAAAACAAAAAACAAACAAAAAAAAACATGGATGCAGGATATTTAACACATAGATTTTCATTAGTAGCTTTCTTCCCGGTACCTTCATAACTTATACATACCATGTAAAACTGTATGCTACGGAGATTGTTGTATCCTCATCTGATCATTCAGGAGATGATTTCCTGTCTGATAAACTAAGGAAGCTACAGTTCTCACCCAGACGGTTCTCATAATAGATTTGCCTACTTTTGCATTTCCAGGGTCTGTCATGACTCTGCCCAATCACAGAGAAAGGTATGGGTTTAAGTAGGCAAATGTGCTGGACAGGAAAAAGCACTGACTCATATTCAAATACACCTATAGTAGTACTTATCAGCTTTATTATGTCCCTTTGAACCAATGCAACCACGCAGGATCATTAATTAAAGCCGATCAGCTAAAACTGTCTTTTACACTCAAAGAAATAATCATACGTAAATAGAGTTTGTGTCATGAGCCAAATGTGCTCTGTTAATGTTTTTCAGCATTTTCTTGATTTTTTATTATGTTCTATAGCGCTTTCCATATTTTGTTACTAATTCCTTTTGGGGATAATGTCCTTATCTCTACTTTACTTGTTATCATTTCTGTATATTCTCTCCTGTCAGCAGCAACTTTTTCAGTTAATTAACCTTTGACCTGGTTCCTGATACTTTCTTATGTTTATTTTGTATTATATTTTGTTAGCTTTCTTCTTTGCTGTGTTTGTCCTAGTTTTCCCCTGCTTATTGTTTTCACCCCATCAGTCTCTGCCTTTATGCTCCTCAGCTATTTTGAAAAAGAATGGAATAAAATAGCTGTAATTATCCCATATTGGGGAAATTCACACAAAAAAAACATATAAAGAAATGTATCTGTGCTTTTTTTAAAGTTGCGTATTCTTAATTGCAAAAAGAGGTTAAATTCTCTAAGGCTACCTCCCTGACCATACTCTTACTCATTGTGCATGACAGGGAGAGCAACCTTAGTTTTCACCACATTCCAGTTCAAAACATGTTAATTATTGTTCTAATGGTGGATACAGTCAGATTTATGGGAACAGTTATGTTCTTGTAGACACTCTCTGACAAACAGGTCAACATACACCCGCCTTATTTGTACGATGTGATCCCTGTCTTTCCCATTTTTAAAAGTTTCTAATGGACCTCTGTGTTATTTCATATGAATGCCCTAAAAAAAAAAACAAGAAGTAATGAATATCTAGATAAGTTTCCCTAGTCACTTAATTAGTCAGATAAGTTTCCCTAGTCACTTAATTAGTCACATATTTTAAAAGAAAAAATAACTTTCATCTTGCCACTGCCTTTGTTATATTAATTCAAAGAATATCAGTAGTATGAGTATAGGACCTGTTATTATATTAAAAAGCTAATATTGGTAGCCATGGGACTTTTCTGTTTCCATAAAGGTTTGATTTGAGGTGTCATTTAAGGACTTTTACTTGTCTCTAAGAGTTACCAATAGCCGAGGGGGCATATTGCTGCCTATCTATGATAGGAATACAGACAGGCAGCTTTAGCAGGGCTTAACTCAGTTCTGTTAGCTTTCTTTTCCAGACAATAGTAGATCTAAGATGCTTTCTGTGAAAATCATTTATCCAGAACCCATTTATCAAACTCAAAGCTCATGGAGTGAACCTAGTCTACCAAGGCAATGTATCTGGCTCTCAGGAGCCAAAATAAGCACATCATGTTAAGTAGAGGTATTATGTAATATATAGAGGAATTATGTTATATAAGTGTAAAAATGGGCTAAAACTGCAACCAAATGAGAGCAAGGATATTGTCCAAGAATAGTGAACTCTTTGTAAATAAAATGATGAAAACAAATGTTTCATTTGTACAGCTAGAGAGTTGATAATGCTGAAGGTACCTGATATAATTGAAGTTTTGCAGCCTAACTCTAGAACATTGAGGTGAGAAAACAACTAATGCTCTGAGATATTCTTTGTTCTATAACACCCCATTACATATCTGGATTCTGGTATGAACGCCTTGACATTCAGAGGTTCAAATATGCAACAGACCCTTTGTATTACAAGGTACATTATGAGGTTTCTAAAATGATCTCATAGAAATCCATGCTGATTTACTGGTGTCATTCTTCCTATTTCAGCTGCAGCTTTAAATTATTCTTCATTTTCTCAATTTATTCATGAGAATCCCGCTAAATCAGTTTAGACTCATCATTCAAAAGAACATTACTGTTGTAGTCCTGGTTTTTCTCTGTTTTATTTGAGGCAAACATTAGTCTGGCCTGTGTGTTGATCAACAAGGAAAGGATTGGAAAGATAAAATGTAGCTAAAGCACCATGACTATGAGATAAAAAAATGTATGTCTAATTTTAAAGTTGATTTCTTCATTCTCTAGTTAATCACAGATAAGTGTTCAAAAATTCCAAAGCTCTTCATTCTATACACTAATTGGTTTGCAACTTTTGTTGTGTGGTTACCCATTTGCCTTGAACACAGAAAGAAAAACTGGGTTCTTCTGATGTAATTAGCAAGGCTACACATGTTAAAAGAAACTGGCTGCCCTTTTTTAGTGATGTAGAACTCATGACAAGAAAAACACTGTAAAATATGTCTTTTCCACTTAAAACTTATGCTAACAAACAGCTGATGCATGATGGCCTGGATGTTAACTGCTTATTTGGATACCATCAGTAGCCACAGCAGAAACTCTGCTCTCTCCTCATCTATCAAACAAGTTGGTTACTCAAAATGTTTTTGCTTGTTTGTCACAGGAAAAGTGTTTTTCTAATATGGAAAACACTTTTAAATGACCTGTTCATGTTTTTAAACTATAGAATAATATATAAAAGCCTTTTGATTTTGTTTATTTTTTGTTTATTTAAATTTTTACTTAAAAAGATAAAGAGAAATAATAAAAACATGTTTTTCTTTGTAATTTTCTTGAATGCTTTGCAGCTTTAAGGTATTTGGTCTAATTTTCTAAAGTAAAGGTTTCAAAGGTTTTTGTTTATTCTACATTAAAAAAAAATTCTTAAAACAAGTATTTATAAAGGAACTTCTTAAACTGAATATATTCACAGTGGTTCATTAGAGTACTATTTTATAAACCTCTACTCCACTCTTGCTTTTGCATTAATGGTCATTCAAATAGAGTAATGTGGTTATTAACTCTGGAGGCAAAGTTGGTCTTGGAAATGAGATGGGGAATAAAATTCCTAGATGCAAAGTAATACTACGGATAACAGAGCCATAANAAATATCATAAATATAGAAGGACAAATTCATACAGTTGAAATACTTTTACCTTTTTTTTTTGTTACACATAAACAAATCCTTACAGTGAGAACTCTATATATTTTAGGACAGGCTAGAGAACTCCCATTGATAATTTCTACTGTTTACCGTATGTTTATATGATCCTGGACTAGTTCAAATTACTCACAGAGGACAGAGTAGTCAAAGATTTTACTCATAGTGATACTTTACAAGAATATTACTCAAGTAAAAGTAACAAGTACGGCAAATTAAACTACTCCTAAAAGTATATATTTTTATATATATTATATATATATATATATATATATATATATATATATATATTATAAGGATATGATAGAAAGCTTTACTCATCATGCTTAAATAAGTGCAGCTGAAACAGCTCATCCATGACTCATTTTCATTCATTGCCAACCACATGTTTTTCCACACAACGTGGCAGTGATTGGTCACTATAGCCACCGACTAAAACTGACCACATTTTTAAACATAAAGCAAAGGTTTAATAACCTAAAAAACAGTGGGACAGAAAGGATAGTGAGTTATATTTTTTGGCTGTTTATTTTGTCGAACCCCCAATTCATTCAATCATGCAACCTGTTGGCATCAGAGGTCTGAACTAAATCTCCCCTTATTTACTTCTCCTATGAACTTACACACTAACAATGTTTTTTTTCTTCCCATTCTGTAATTATAATAATAAAAAAAAATCAATTCAGATGAGAGGCAGAGAAGACAAGGATGAAACTTGTAAGTGTGGATGAAAATTTAAGGCCTAATGTCGTCTTTCCTAGAAATCAGATTATCGGAAACAAAGTCCCTGTAAAATAGAACAAGTGGAAAGAGCAGAGATGCACTGCTTCTGCACAGAGCGACCTTGTTGGTTCTCTATACAGAAACATGCAAAGTAATTCCATTGTAGTTCACATGTAATGACAAGAAGTCTGCTTTGCTATGCAAAATCCAGTCACCACCTCTGCTTTATAGGGTGTGGTCAGTGTTTGGTTTCATGAACAACAACTCTTTGTGGTTTTCACCCTTCATCTCTCACACTGAAATATTGCTGCATATTCTTTTAAAGCCTTACCTCAAATTATGTCCTTAAAACAGACCAGCAATTAGCTTATATGTAGGTACTCCACAATCACCAGCAAAGGAGAGCAAAATAAACCCTTTGGGAAATGATTGTTTACTGATATCATCTGGCTTTTGTTTAAGAGCTTTGGCCTGTAATAACAGGGAAGATCAAAGCCTGTTTTTTCAGGGGTATGGGCTTATTTTGCTGCAACACAAGTGATGATAAAACCCGCAGAAACACACATTACTTATCTAAATTCAACCATTTTTAGTTTAAATTAATTCAGGTATATATATATATATATA